CAGTATTCCCCCCCACCCGCCAAATCTGGTACCGCATCCAAGGGTAACGTCCCTGGCAAGCCAGACCCAGTCCTCAACTTTCAAACACACACTCTCATCTTCCTGGCCTCACTATCCAGACAGTGGCTTTACCACCCAAGGGATAACAGATAGTTTTGGGTGATGAGAGCACATTACACACAGTGCGAGTCTGATTGCCCTGTTCCGCCTCTTATTCACAACTAACAACCACCGAAACTTACAGCACTTTGTCCCATTGTGTCTGTGCTGAACCTCTAAAAGAGCAACCTATTCCACTCCCATCCATCTACCTTTTCCCCAAACCTCTGCTGAAGATCAGACGTGTAACTTTTGGGCGAGTTGCACTGGGCGAGTTACTTGCACAGAGTTGCCGTCTCTACTTTTTTAACAGCTAGTGAAATTGTTCTCATGTGACGTTGTCTCGTATCCCTGCCCTGCGTGAAACTTGCACCCATTGACGCGAATGGATCGACAGTGCAAGTGGAGGCAGTTCACACGAAACCGGCAGAAAGTTAATTGCTGTACCTTACCTTGTGCAGAAATGGCTTTGTAAGGCAACAAAACAAATGCCAGGACCTTCAGATCAAAAACACGCCTAACTTTGAAGCTTGATTGTTCTTAAAAGACCACAAACCGCATTGTCAAGGTGGTAGGTAGGAATTTACTGGCCTATTAAACACCCATCGATCAGCGTGCTGCTGTTGTGTCTCCACCTTGTCTCCTTCAGTCTTTGTAGTTAGCAATGCTGGTTCCTTTCATCAGCAACAACAGCATTTAGATCTTTGTTCCTTTAGTGATCTTTGTACTGGAGGAGTTTGGTGCGATTAGATATTTGAGTACTGTAGTGTGATTCTCTTGAAGGAAATAAAGAGGTGTTTTTTCAAGCTTATTAATCAAAAAACAGAAGACTAAAGGGATGATTACCATTTGTTTTGGTCAACCGGGCGTCCGACACACGCAGAAACCCATCATCATGCTTATTAAAAAATTTATATTAAAAAATATGGAAAGTTTCACGAATTTGCACGTCAACAACACAACAACAACAAGATTCCATTTATAGAGCGCCTTTCACGTCAGGAGGACGTCCCAAGGCGCTGCACAGTTGGGTCATGACCCGAGCAGGGGGGAAATGGTCAGGGTGAGGGGAGGGAAGGGAGGGAGCGAGGAGGGGGGAAATGGTCAGGGTGAGGGGAGGGAAGGGAGGGAGCGAGGAGGAGGAAGAGAGTCGAGAGGGGAGCTGAAGGCACGGTCAAAGAGAAAGGTTTTGAGACCGGCCTTGAAGGAGGAAAGCGAGGAAGCGGCGAAGGCACTGGGGGATGGAGTTCCAGAGCCTGGGGGCTGAGAGGCTGAAGGCCCGACCACCGATAGTAAGGCGGTTGGGGCGGGGGACGTGGAGCAGACCGGAGCCAGAGGAACGGAGGGTACGGGCAGGTAGGTAGGGGGATAGTAGGTCGGAGAGGTAGGAGGGAGCAAGGCCGTGAATGGCCTTGTAGGTGAGGATGAGGATCTTGAAATTAATCCTCTGGGGGATGGGGAGCCAGTGGAGGCGAGCGAGGGTGGGAGTGATGTCATCCTTGTGCGGGGGGCCGTGCTAATCTACAACAACAAGATTACATGTGTATTGCGCCTTTCACGTCGGGAGGACGCCTCAAAGCGCTTGACAGGATTCGAAGGTCACAAGATCAGTTCGGAATGAAGAAGGTTCCTTCCTCCCAATCTGATCTCATCCTTTTAATTTTGGAACTTTGTTGCGTGTTCAAAACGTTCTTGACTGCTTCCCGACACCTGTTTAGCTTAAAGGAAACTAACTGGACAAGGTGTCAAGTTGCCTTCCAGAGGAGTGTTGGAGCTCACACCTAATACTATACCACCGGTTCTCATGTAAATGTACCTCTTGTGAACTCTTTCCGCTGCAGTCGGCACGCAATGCGAAAAACGTTTGCCTACAACACACAGTCACTACGCTCTGCAGGGAAATCCTGTGATTTGAGACGTTCTCCATCCTGACGTGAAAGGCCCCGGATGAAATATAAGGAATATTTTTATTATTAAAGCCTCGACTTTGGGACAACGTGGGGTGAAATCTGTAATGTTTCATAATGTGTTGCTTGTGTTAATTAACATGTAACGAATCGTCTTAATCTTTTTACGACGGTGGTGGTGGGGGGTCGGAGGGTGGGGGTACGGAGAGGGGGAATCGAGTGCCCAGCACCAGGAGAGAAAGATGTGGGAGGTGGAGATGGGGTAGGAGGGGGAGAAGTGGGTCCCAGTAGTAGACCAAATGGGTCTTTTGTTTAATTCTTTCTTGATCCTGTATCTATGGAATGCAAGGAAGGGGCATCGACACATCACAAATCGAGAGGACGTCTCAAAGCGCTCGTAACTTTCACCCCAATACTGCAAACTGGGTCGCTCTCAGCACTTGAGCAGTGCTACCAATGTCTGGGAATGAGCCAGACCGTTCTGGCAACACTTAAGCTGGTTTTCATTCACTGGGCATTCTCAGGAGAAGCGGAAAAGCCGGATAAATACACATCTGTTGTGCAAGTGGCACATGGCCCCCCGTTTGATTAGCTGTTTTTTTTTCCGTGTATGGTGTGGCTCGCATTCTGTCCCTGAGCAAGAAAGTGTAGCGGAGGTTGGGCAGTACAGCTAATCATGTTATGCACATAATGCATCGCTTGTTTAAGGAGAGTATTAAATCTCCTCTGTAAGCCTGGCGTGTAGATTAAATGTACAGTCTTCTAAATATGAACCATATAAGCTGAAAATTGCTTGCAGACATTCTCCTTTCATTACCTGACACTTTGTGTACAATTAGTTGCAGGGATCCCTGCCATAACCACTGTGCCTGGTTTTAATAAGAGCTTCGGAAACTGCCTGAAGCTCAATTGCCTCTGACAGGCATCAGCCTGCCCGTGTTTCATTCCGCAGGATAAACAAAACCGTGCGTTCTGCAGAGACAGGATTGCTCGATGGCTCAGCCCTTTCCTCAAAGGCACAAAAGAGTAACGTTTTATTATACAAGAAGGCGTGACATGATGACCGAAGAGGCTTGTGATTTTTGTAGGCGAATCAAGTTGGTCAATGAATGAAACCTGTAGCCAAAATTACTCTCAGAACAATCATCCCTTATTGCTGCACCCCTGAGGTACCCTTCGTTCCCTCTCAGGCCTCTAACCCTTAACACTTAGTGGTTTCCTTTAAAAGCCTCGTTAAGAAAGTACAATCTTGTTCGCCCAGTACGACACTCGTGTTAGTTAAGTTGCCAAGGTATTTTTTTCCAGTTAAGTCCTCTTCAGACCCAAAAGGGAGATAGATATAAATTGTATTTGTACAACAACTACAATGACTTACATTTATACTGCGCCTTTCATAGATTTTTCATAGATTCATAGAATGTTATGGCACAGAAGGAGGCCATTCGGCCCATCGAGTCTGTGCCAGCTCTTTGACAGAGCAAGTCACTTTCACTAACCCCAATCACCAGCTTTCTCCCCATAACCCTGCAAACCCGTCTTCCCCAGATACCTGTCCAGTTCTCTCTTAAAAGCTGTTATCGAATCGGACTTCACTACCCTTTCAGGCAGATCATTCCAAATTCGTACAACTCGCTGAGTGAAAAAATTTCTTCACGTGGGGCAGTGTCTCAGAGCACTGTATTTATACAAATAAAGTACACACATTGTATTAATTATACCTATATATTATATGCATATATAAATTGTCCTTAAATGGGGCAGGTAATGAAATGAAAAAAACAACAACCGTCAAGTAATTGCTTGGTTATCTTCTCTTTCGAGTTTTTACTCTGTAGATTTTACTCCATACTCTGCCCTCTCATAGATTCTCTCCGTGTACAGATTATGCAAGTGTTATATCAGTCCTATCGCTGTACAGTGTCTAGCTACCTTTCTCTGGCCCTCGATCTACTGTCACCAGCTGTCGCAGATACCAGCATGTTTGCCCGCAACTCCTGAAATATCTCCCGAAATACCCGTCCTTCAGGCCACAGACCAAACCAAGGTCCTGCCTGACTATTCAGGCTCTCGTTAAAGATCTTTCTGTGGTACTTGGAAAGAGAAGGGAGTTTCTCTCTCCTGGTATCGTGGCCGACGATCCCCCAGATGAAGTTGGCTGTTCCCTTCACGGTTGTGCGTGGTACGTTGCTGTGCGCAAATCAGCCGCCATTGTTCAGCTACAAAATAATAATAATAGTAATAATCCTTGCATTTGGTACAGTGCCTTATCGGGTCGGAAAGCGCTTCCCAGGATTTACTGTGAAATGGGAGTGACGTGTGTATTTGTAGGCAAACTCGGCGCCTAGCGATGTACCACAAACAGTCATGGAGTGCGTGATCCATTTTTATTTCACCAGGAAACACTCCCTTCTCTTTCCGAACAGCGCCTTGGGATCTTTAACGTCCACCTGAACAGGCAGACGGGCACGGTTTAACGTCTCATCCCGAAGGACGGCACCTCCAACAATGCAACACACCCCCCCCACCCCCAGTGCTGCATTGGAGCGTCAGCTTAGACTGTGGGATTTGAAGCCACAACCTTCTTTCTGACTCAGGAGAGAGTGTTATCGCTGTGTCAGGCTGACACCGGTAAACCATGCGAAATGCCTCGAGACATTTCGATGATGTTAAGTATGAAATGCAAGGGTTATTATTCCAAGGAAAATAATACGCCCTCTATACATGATTCCTCCACATCCCCCTCTCTCTCTCTCAGCCTGGCCAACTTCAACATGTCTTTATTAGGACTTGCAGCCCAAAAAAAAGCCCAGTTCCCCCCCCCCCTCCCCAACCCCCCACACACAATCCTACCCTCCCCTGTATCTAACAATCACCCAACATAATAGGGCAGGCAGTCTCTCGCACTCCTTATCTGCCAAACAAACAAAAGAAAGAGTGTTATCTGATCTCTCAGTTGGAATTGTGGCAAGAAAAGACAAGGGGAGGGGGGGGGGGGGCGGTGGTGGTGGTGGAGGGTGAAACCACTGAACATCTTCATCCCTTATCCCAGGCAGCAGAGCAGGCATGTTTGTTGGATGTGGGAGAGCTCCCAGTGGACTAGCAGCACCTGATCAGAGAGAAAGAGAGAGCGAGAGAGCGAGAGAAAGAAAGCACAAGGCAGCCTGACCCCCAGCCTCACTATTATTGCTCACTGTAAAGGCACTCGCAGTACCTCAACTTAAATCAGCCTGTGGGCTATCTGGATGCGTTGTAACGATGGGTGGCTTTAGCTGTGCCTCCTCCAGCCCTGCTCGCTGCTGCCTGTTGCTGTTGCGCCTCTCTGTGTCTGTCTTACTGCTGCTGCTCTTGTCTCAGCCTGACCTTGCGGCTGCTAAGAGCCTGAGAGTGAAAACGGGAGACAAATACGACGTGAGTATACTTATAGTTATATTTATATGTTTATATATATTATCTATCTATCATAGTGTGAGAGGCGCACCCAAAAAAAAAAGGTGCTGATCTGTTACACGACTCATTCATTCACTCACTCATTCATTCACAAGCACAAGAAACTCAAGGAAAAGTTTGTTTTCTCAACACACTCATTTCTTTCTCTCTCTCTCTCTCACTCACTCATTCGCTCACTTTGGCTTCACATTCAATCCCCTTCGGCACATCTTGCGGTGGTTCAAAACAGCCCCTTGTACAGCCTTAGGCGAGAGTCTTGTTAGTTTAGCATTGTGTTACACAGAAGCCGACCCAGAGAGAGAGTGAGTGAGCGAGTGAGAGAGAGAGACAGAGAGAGATAGAGTGGGAGAGGGTGAAAGAGAGAGGGAGAGAGAGGTAAAGGGAAAGGGGGGAAAAAAACAGGGTGTTTCAATCAATACGAAATAAAACCAAACCCACTCGATTCTGCTGTATATTTTCGTTGCAAATATCGAAGAAGGGAGATTTTGGGAGGGAATTGTCACATCATTGGTTTGCATTTTGTTTCAAAAGTACTGTATAGGAATGAAGTTAGGTTTTTGCACAGAAAGTTTGAAGTTGAGAGGCTTTGACAGAGCAAAGGCAAAGCCCTGCAGATCATATGTGTATGTGTGTGTATATATATGTGTGTGAGTGTGTATCTCTGTACCCTCAGTATAGAGGGTTGACAAGGAATCTTAACTAAATATAATTTATCCCTCTGTTTCCTTGGATCCCAGCTCGCACACACACACACACACACACACACCTGTTTGTCCTCTGCACAGTTTAAGGTCTTGGCACCAGTTGGCTCTGTAACAGCCCGATACTGACGTTTCAGGCATAAATACGCAGTCCATTCACTTTACAGTATGTTTTGTGAAGCGCTTTGAGACGTCTCAATGATGTGATGAGGCGCTGTACCAGATGCAAGGATTATTATTATTATAAATTTAAAAAGGGAAGGGGTGTGGGCGGAGAAGAGGAGGAGAACGGATGGGGTAGAGGGGGAGGTAAAAGATTGGATAGGAATACGATGCACCCAAACTTGGTCAGGAAGAGAGATGAAAGATAAGACTGAGCTCGCTCAGCCAGCTTCGCTTCCGGAGGAATGTGCAGAGATATCATTGCTGATTAAATAATAAGGCAAAATGTCTCCAGTGGTTTATGCTGCCTGAAGAATTTGGATACAGATATATACCCGAGTGCTGTCCATTCCTGTAAGCTTGGCATCCATTTGTTAGATCAGGTCAGAAATAACACTGCACTGTGAAACCCGCCAGCTAGACTTGCTCATTCGAGAGTTTAACGGATAAACAGAGGAAAGATATCTAACCGGTGAGTTACCAGTGTAAGAGCAAGCCATGATGCATGAGTGAATTATCAAGACCCTTTCACGCTGATTTACAAAAGTACTTGGCAAACTGTCTGTAACTCCTGAGGTATTCTGTTTATTCTCTTGTGAACAACTATTTGTGGAATGTTAAGGCGCTCTTTTCGAGTGTTATGCTATGTCCCATATGTTTGCTAATCTCTCTGTGCGTGTTTTTTAGCCTAGTGTGAGTTAGGACTTCACTGGGAAACCCAATTCATAACGTCTTCCCCAGATCTTAATTCTTCATTGAGTTTCAATGGATCAAATGATACACAGCAAAACAAAGACACCCCCACAGGCATTGCGATAAGCAGCAACAAAAAGACTCGACAAGATTCAGTGTTAACTGAGCTCAACATTAGTGGCAGGCGGGCCTTCTGCCACTCTGCCCCCACCCTCTGGAACTCCATCCCCCAGTCTCTCCGCCTCTCCCCCTCCCTTGCCACCTTCAAGACCCATCTCAAGACCCTCCTCTTCGACCATGCTTTCGATCTCTCTGCTCCCCCCCCCCCCCCCCCCCCCGCCCACCCCCACACTCCCCAACCCCCAAGTCAGGTCCGCAACTTTGTCTGTCCAACGTCTTGGGACATCTCTTGACGTGAAAAGCACTTTACAAATGTAATTTTGTTGTTGTAGTAGCACACAGTCAGACCAGTTCTGTTAACTCCAAAGTAATCCTGTACAATGATATGAAATTGTAAACCCTACCACCGGACAAGGATCCAATTGGTAAAGATTTAATGTATTTCACATCTGGGAACACATGTTGAGGCTTAGGATGAATGCTCGACAGGAACACCCTTTAACGTTAAGAGGCACAGGGGAAATGAATGCTGACAGTTTCAGGCCAGTGACTGTGGTTAACATCAGCTTCACACTTCCTTTACTGCAATGCCAAGCATTCTCCACCCTTCACCAAAAGAAAAGGATGCAGTCTACCATGAACATAGTAATATGTGTGGATGGAATTGGCATTCACAGTGAATGTTTTCTGTAAGCACTGTAGAGCAAGCATCGAGAGTTCACTGTTTTTTTACTAAAAGAAGTTTAATTGCAACTGTCTCTCAACCCTATGGAACTGCCATAACTCTTCGCCCCCTGAAACGGGTCTTAATGCGAGAGGGAGTTGAGATTCGCTTTCAATTCTAAAGCACCCACTTTAGCTCAATGAACTCGCTCCGGGAGTGGGTGGTCGAGTCCGGAATTAATTATTAACAGTGTTTTTTTTTAAAAAAAAGAAAGGGAAAGCATTTTAGAACAGCCATAGAGACCGTTTGTGGGTTGCTATGGCACAAAACCACAGCAAACCGTTTTTGAAGTTGTACTTTGCCTTTGTTGAGTGTGTGGATTTGGCCACAGTTCCCGATAATTTGAGACTTGCATCCAAGCGCTGCCCGCGCTCTCCCTCTCTCCGTGGAGAGTGATCCATGTCAGCTTGGCTCAGTTAGTAGCGCTCTCGCCTCTGGGTCAGGCGATTGTGGGTTTGAGCCACATACCCTGTGACACAATCGTGGCTTGACACCGTTACAATACTACACTGGCCATTCTTTTCAGATGAGACATTAATCTAAGACCAAGTCCAGCAGCTCTTACAAACCCTGTAGCGCTATTTTGAAAGGCAGGCCTCCTCCCAGTGTCCTGGCCAAGATTTTTTTTCTCTCATCCCAAATCACACTGTGGTCTTTCATATCATGATTGGGTTTTTTTTGCCTACAAAAGACACAGTCACTCCACTTTACAGTATATCTCGTGCAGCCCTTTTGCGACGTCCTCTCGACATGAAAGGGGCTGTATCAAATGTAAGGATTATCATTGGCGAATTTGACAAGTTCATAAACACAGCCTTAATCTTGAAGCTGGATTATTTGTCCAGATTTTTTAAAAAAAAACAGTTTCAAATGTAAGATTGAATTCAACAGATTGCCCATTTCTGCACGGTCTGTAAGGCGACCCAGTAAATCTAGACCCAGGAGTGTCTCCATGCTTAGCAATTATTTCCTTTTGCCCACATCCAGCTAAAGACAATAATTACAGCTTCAATACGTATGATTATGGTGGTAATTTGCAGCACATTGAATTGGTAATGCAAGTTATTTCAATGTTACTTCCTCCTTCCCACCTCTCTCCCTTATCATGTACACTACTCTTTTTCTCTCTCTCTCTTCCATTGAGGTTATTTTTCCCAACTGCGCGACTGGGCTAACAATTCTGGCACTGTGCAGATACAGTGCTGCACTTTGCCAGACTATAGGATAGTGTATAATCATCAATCATGGCTTGGTGGAGCCAACTAAAAGCACTCTGATGTACAGGACTGACAATTTAACTGCAACAGCAATTCTCATGATGAGTATCAAGTGACTGAAATCCTTTGATAAATGGCATCAATCAAGGAACGTCCCATGTTTCTAAACCAGAGCCATAATCAAAGTTTTCAACATAAGCTGCAATTCACCAAATATAAAGTTGAGCAACTTAAAACGTAGACACACTGTAATAATAATAAAATAATCCTTGCATTTGATATCGGGCTTTTCATATCTTCGAGACGTCTCAAAACGCTTCACAGAAATATACTGCAAAGTGAATTGACTGTATATTTGTGGGTGAAACGCGGCAGCCATTTGCACACAACAGCGTCCCACAAACAGTCGTGGATTGAGTGACCAAATTATTATTGTTTTGTTTTTCTTGAGGGATTATTATCCCCGGAAAAACGATCTGCCAATCGACTAACAACCAGGTTCCTACTTCCTGCGAGGTAAACAGAGGCATATGGTGTCAGGAAACTTGCCCAACATTTTACTCCGCCGGGATTAGAACCCAGGTCTCTCGCTTGCGAGGCGAGTGCTCTAACCACTGAGCTATAGGACTCCACAAATAGTGTCCTTCGTGGACTGAATAAAAGAGAGCCACATCTTTAGATCAAAGCGTCATATCTTTTAGATGTGTAATTTGTCCATTTCATCTTTTTCAAGAGAAACAATCTTGCACACAAGTTTTAAAGCCCAACTCTTAATGCACTTGTGTTTCCAGAACTGCAATCAAAGGGCATTTATTATGTTTCACTCATAAGTACAATGAATGCTTCAGTAAATATAATTATCAAGTGCATGGTTTCAAATTACATTAACACTGTTATGATCTTTCTTTGAGAAATGTATGAATAATAATCTTCATATTCTATGTAGTGCCTATTACGTCAAAATACCTCAAAAGCACCTCGCACAGGTAACTGCGGTCAAATGTAGTGACTCTGTATTTGTAGGCAAACACAGTAGCCTGTTTCTACACAGCAAAGTCATACCAAAAGGTATGAGCAACGAGGTGAATGACCAATTTATCTGGAGGATTGTTGGCCAGGACCCCAAGAGAAACTCCTTTCGCTTTGCTTCCCCACGTGTTCATGTTATAAATACCAGTAAAGCAACATCCGACTTTCAGAGAGGTTTCACAAGGCAGCTTAACAAATAGTTTTAAGCCCCCTTTGGACTAATGTGGTCACAATAATTCACCAAACGCAGCTGTCTGTCAGTAAAGTAATGGGAAACGGTAACATCTATCTTTTTTGAATATTTGATGGACTTATGGCAACGTTTCTCTACAATGTGGGGAGAACGTGAACCATTGAACCTTTCTACATGTATGGACCTTATAACACAGAGTCCCAGCCTTTCACGATCAATCCTAGGAGTGGAATAATAGAGGGAGTTTTCTTAAATAACCTCAGAGATAATGTGTGTGCAATAGATCGGTTCATTCGAGAGCTACTCTTTATGAAAATCATTCTTTTTCTTCTAGAAAAAGTTTCTTCCTGATTTATGTGTACAGGGTTGTGCTATAATGCTTGACGGAGAATGTGTGTGTGTGTGTGCGCGCGCTGGGGCCATCATTTAGGAAGACCTCAAAGAAAACTGCAGAGTGATTGCCTTCATCCTTTCCCTGAAGGAGATGTTATTATCCAAGTCACTCGTTTAAGGGCAGGCAGAGTTTAATTTCTTCCAGTTCCTTCCTGGAGTGCTTTTTGAACTCAGACCAGAGTCAACACCTCAGCCTAAGATCTTTCAGGAACACTAGTTCACCTCCAGGCAGTCAGACGTTCATCCACAAAACACACAGTCCGCGTGGAGTAAACCCTGTCAAGCGCTTTGAGACTTCCTCCCGACCTGCGCAGTCACGGAATGGCGGCGTCAGATGTTTGGAGTCAGATATGTAGCCGGTGGCATGAGTCATGCTAAGCCTCCGTGCTCTAGCGGAACGAAAGCAGCACAAGTCATAATAAGAAACAATTCCGTTTGTCAAATTAAATGAAAGAAACCAAGGTTATTTCGCTTCACGGGAACTGACTGCGTATCGAAGATAGGTCTCGCTAATACATATCTGACACCTGACCAAGTCACTGGGGAATTTGCTCAGTTCCGCAGTGGAAATACTTTATCTGAGGTCAAAACCAAATCATGCCATAGGGGGTGATTGCTGGCAAATATGAGCGATTGGATCTTATTCTCCTTTTAGTTCAGTCCATATCCTGAGGTTGGCGATGGAAACCGGTGGGGGGGGGGAGAAGACGGAGGTGTACTCTACCCCGTGTGAAGAGTGCTATATAAATGGAAGTTGTTGTTGTTGTCGTTGAGTAATACTACAAAGAAACAAGTCTGACTATAGCCCAAGAAAATGAATGGAAGCTGCTTTTGATCGTCACTTTACGAGTAATGATAAAACCCTTTCCTACTTCCTCATATGTTCAGTAACAGATGTACTGAGTGCTTTTCCACAAACGGTGGGAGGGGGGGAAAAAGGGGAAATCTGATACAATGAGGAAATTAACGTTAACCTATTTTTCCCATTACGGAAGAGGTAAATTTAAATACAGTTTAAAAAAATAAAGGTTCTGCATAGGAGGAGTTGATTGGTGCTGTTGAGGTACATTTTACTGCCGACACACTCACATAGTGACATTCAACAAACACACAGAGCGACGCGCGCTCACATAGAGACATCACAGTGATGTCTCCGTGCACAGTGATGGCGGGTAAACAGTCCCGGGCAAAGGCACTTTGTTGTTTAGCGTATTTGCAGCGGAGGCCGCTGTTTAAAGCGGATTCCACGGAAAAATTGCAGCTGCACTTTTCCATTGGTCCAGCTCATTGGTTTGAGGTGAACTGTTTGCAATTCAGCTACAGCCACCACTTTGGTTACCAACTACTGCCACCTGAAGGGATAACAAACACACTACAATAAATAGTAATACAACAACAACAAAATTACATTTATAGAGTGCCTTTCACGTCGGGAGGAGGTCTCAAGGTGCTGGACAGTCAGCGGTCAGTGGATGGGGGAGAGGTGGGAGGGCGACTGAAGGCACGATCGAAGAGGAGGGTCTTGAGACCGGCCTCGAAGGAGGCGGCAACAACAACAACAACAACAACAAGATTACATTTGCATAGCGTCTTTCACGTCGGGAAAGCTCCACTGCGAAACATTTTGAACATGAAGACGCACAATATTTTTTTTAAAAAAGGGCTTATTATTTTTGACTGAAGTACACGCACTGAAATGTTCCATCAGTCACGTTCGAATCAAAGTGACCGCAAGTCCACCCAGAACATTGGTAGTGTCTGAATAACTACCCTATTATCTAAAAAAAATCAACCTTTATTTAAAACTTGTTAGACTTTATAATGGTATCACAATGTTTTGGTTATCCTGGATGTACAGGGAGGAATATGACCCTCTTCCTGCTCTCATTTGAATCCAGTCAAATAATCAAAGGCTAACATGAAACCATTGGCAGAACCAGCAGAAATTCAATTCCAGGAAAGTCATGCAAACCAATGGATAATACTTTTTTTTTAACTTAACACATGCAAACACCGAGTGCTCCCAACAGCAAAGGCAAGATAAAGGCATCTTTGCATACCCTCAGCAAAGTGCCTTTGAACCACCAATAAAAGTGCATTTATTTTTATTGGTGAGCGAGCTTCGGCTTGCTCACCCCCAATTAGCCGAATTACTCCGAACACGTTCCACTTAGAGATCTGGGGTTGTCCCCACAGAGCAGCCCCTATCCCTCCCCTTTCCCCAACTCTTCCAGGCCCCAAATTGTCACAGGACAATATGGACCTGGACCATGTCTTCATAACCACCCGAGCAAGTCCGGTGACCAGATGGCCTTTGCGTCAGAGCAATCGTGACCTGAGCCAAGTCACCAACTTCTCAAGCGAGCTCTGTATTCTAGTATCTCTGCTTCTTCTTAATGAAGGCAGATCACATTCCTCAGATCGGAAATACTGCAATGCCAATCCCAACCCACAGAGGGTTGAGTTGCATTACTTCATTTTCATAGATACAGTATTTAATTTTTCCTTCCTCATCCAGCCCATTACCTCCGGCTTCACCTATGTTCCCCCTTTCTGTGCTCAAGAGACAAAACCTGTGTCTGCACATTTCTTCTCTTTGAATTGCCTCTGTTCCTTTTTCGAATATCAGCGAGCCTGCCGATTGAAGCGAAAGTCAGATGTAGTATCAATTGGTTCATGACTGCTTGTTCCTGCGTTAGTTAACATTTAACTCTGTTCTGTCCCTCCTCTCCCCCCCCCCCCCCCCCACCTATTTTCTTTCACCAGGACTATGAATATCAGCTGATCTCACATTCTTCCCAATACCAGAAGAATGACCGGTGCCCTCCTCCGCCTCAGGCGTTGCCGCACAAGGCCTGTGAGGTTCCCAGCTGCAGGTCAGACTCTGAGTGCGAACGGCACAAAAGATGCTGTTACAATGGATGCATTTATGCTTGCTTGGAATCCGTGCAGCCACCACCAGGTACACCTTAAGTTTCCAATGTTGGCCTTAGTCTCCATTCACAATGTGACGCAGAGCGCAATTCTGAACTTAGAATGTAATCAGTTCAAAGCACCTCTGTAGGTCCTGAAAACGCTTCTTGGCTCAGAGGGTAGCACTCTGACCTCTAAGTCAGAAGGTTGTGGGTTCAAACACCCCCAGGACAGGTCTTTGAGCTCACAGGCTATAGGCCTGACACCTTAATGCATTACTGAAGGTGTCGTCCTTCAATCGAGACCCATCTGCCTGTTCAGGTGGGTGTCAAAAGATCCTGTAGCTCTAGTTGGAAGGCAAGGGATTTTCTTCTGTTGTCCTGGCCACTACCACACCTCATGTAAAGCGCTTTGAGACGTCCCACAGGCATGAAAGGCACTATATATAACAAATTCAAGGAATATTATCTATTTTATTTAGGCGAGGGTTTATTTTGACAGACTGTTTAGGTTTCCAGCCTTCCTTTTTAGGTCTCTCCAAATCACAGGCTTTGCCCGGCTCAAAGTCTGCTCAGCAGAAACGCCATTTACTCAATCTGTTGTTCGTTCACAGTTCTAGATTGGTTGGTACAACCAAAACCCAGATGGCTTGGGGGCAATGGGTGGCTGCTGGATGGACCAGAGGAAGTGCTTCAAGGTATTCCATCAACAATAGTATCAATTGCATGTTGGAAAGATTACTCAATCCCTTGGTTTGCTTCAACCACAGATTCAGGCAGCGAGTTCCAGATTCTCACCATTCTCTAAAGTTTCCCCTGTTAGATCCTCCACTGGCTGTCTTATATCTACACCATGATGGGAAAGAGCTTCATTTTATTCTGAATTCAGTTTAGAACCTGGTTTCATTTTACGAGCTGTGGAAAAGCGACTTACCAAATTATGGCTGAATTTAAGAATACTCCACATTACCCCACCTTCTTACATTTTGTAGGAAGAATAGTCTCATGGGTGGAATTTGAAGAGCGTTGACCTGATTTGAAGTGCCAAAGCAACTGATTGTCAGTTGCAACTTATTATAACGCAGGTTGCAATTTTATTGATCCCTCAATTACTGCTTTATAACAAAGTTCTACTGCATACACACACTTTCGGTTGCACAATCTTTTCAAATTATTTCAGGAGTTTCGCTGTTGCATTGCCAATGGAGGTATAGGGTTATCAGCAGAGATGTTTTTTTTTCTGATTATTGTCTTGTCTCTTTTTGCAGCTGAAGCTTGTAGCACTACAGAGGACGGAGACGAACCCTTGCATTGCCCCACTGGCTACGAATGTCACATCATCAATCCCGGCAACTCGGCAGAGGGAATACCAAACCGAGGGCAATGCATAAAGCAACGGGGCAACAGTGGTCAGTGTTTCAGCTGGTCTACTTCCGAGTATCTCGCTGTTTTGGAACACCGTCCTAGAATCCCCTCTCTAACCTCATTCAAAGCACATCTCAAAGCGTAACCCTTTCGGTCACCTTTCGCTTTCCCCCACCCCACGCCTGCCACCTTCAGCTCGGGTGCCCATCCAACGGGGTTAAGAGCTTTGAAACGTCATCCCGACGTGAAAAGCGCTACAGAAATATAAACTGTGTTGTACTGTGTTACAGCCTCACTTATATGGACCCAAACTAACTGGAATCACAGGAAATGTCAGGCTTCCAGTGCTGATCATTTGTCACTCGCTGTGAGGTAGCATCATTTTTTTTTTAAAAATCACTAATTACTGCATACGTTTTTTTTGCTTTCAGATGGACGCAATTTAAGACCCAAATTTTACAAGGAGTACAAGGATTATTTTGGTAAGATCAGACAATCGAAACAATATTAAGGGGATTGAATTTCTTTCCGGCTACGGATTTACTCTTGTTTTTTGAGCATTTCAGAGGGCTTCAGAATTTGGCAAATTCTTAAATACAGGGTTTTGTTTTGAAGCCGGTTTCCTGTAAGTTCTTTTCATAAACTACGGAAAACCCGACTTCAAAGTTAAGACCGCATTCAACTGTTTACAAATTTTGTACGCTCTAAAATGCTATTTAACTGTAGACTCGGGTGGAATTTCACCCCACGAATCCGTTAGTGAAATGTCGCAAACTTTCCCTCAAAGTGGATAATATTTTATGAGTGAATAAATATCTAAATTTTTGCACAATTCATTTAGGGTTCGAATTGAATTGATGCACTCTATAACTAGCCGGGAGATAAAATAATAAAATAGTAAACAATCCTTGTGTTTGATTAGGGGACGCCTCAAAGAGCTTCACAGGATTTTACTGTAAAGTGCAGTAACTGGGTATTTCGTTAGTTGATCACTATATGCAACGTAAAAATCTTTTGGTTGCGTATCTGAGTTAACTTGCCTAACTTGTTCGTACAGTGAATCGTAGTTTAAAAAAAAGCGTGACGTACCAGTTATGTTAGCTGGAAAACGATATGAATAGAACAAAGCCCGTATTTCTGTCCCTTTAAACGACTGCAAGCATGAAAACACACCTTGATACTTGTCACTGCAGAACACCTGATAGCTCACCTTGTAAACTGAGACTATGTGAATGCATTGTCACAAAGAGGAACAATGACAGTTCAGCACTTGAACGCTTTAAATGCCTTCCTTTTATGACAATACATTTCCACAGGAGGCAGTTGGCAAAATTCAGTACCCGCCATGGCAAGTTTGGTTTACCTGCCTTTGCTGCCTTTATTAATTCAACTCCTGCACTGTTGGGGCTTGATTCTCGTTCGGGTCAGCCAGTTGCCATGTGTAGATGGGGATGCGTGCATGACACTCGTGGAAACCCATCACCGTGCTTAAAGGGCATCCAAACCAAGCTGAGATTTCCAATGCATCCCACCTAAACATGGAAATTCTGGAGGGGCGTATCCTGCTTACCTAACTCCGGAAAGTATTAGGCGCTGGTGGACAAGAGCCAAGGCTTGAGGACCCACTAGGGGCAGGCAGACAGACTGACTTCACTCCGATTTCCCTCTCCCCACCTCATTTATCAAATACTTTGGTGAAGCCCTTCACAACTCGTCACTTAGCGATTTACCATTGTTGACACACCATACAGAGCTGTACTTATTAGCAGAGATCTCCTGATACGAAGGGCAGGGAGGAAATGGAAACAATTTGGATGTTTTTTTTTCTTTCAATGTGTGCAACGTACTTGTCTTGCAGTAATCTTCATTCCACTCCTTCATCTCATGAAAGAAATTAGGTGTTGCTGGGAGCGCACACATGTACACACCTGATCGACCAATGGACCAGTGCACACCCACTCACTCGGATTTTTTTAAAACAAAAAAAAAACTCTTGCGCAAAGTGTCTCATTCAGGATCTGGAAATGGGCCTGACCTCAGAGTAACAGGTTCTGTGGAATTTGACTTTTACGTGGGGGTGGGGGTGAGGGTGGGGAGGCTGTCAATGGCGAGGGGGTAGACGAGTTGTGGGTCAGAGACACAACGATTTTGGGGTGGGGGAGGCGAATCTGAACCTCTCAGCAAGTACTCGTCAAACTCCACCTCATGGGTTCGGCCAAAAGACACTTTAATGTAACATCCAGTGAAGCGCTTTGAGACGTTCCCCCCCAAAGTACTGTATTGGTGCTAAACCAAAAGCTCTTTTAATCGCCGCTCGACTGCTCGCCTTTTCCAGGGACTGATTCTAACAACGCGGTCGGATACAAGAAGCACCACCACAAGCATCTGGGCTGAGCTTTCCAACCTGCGGACACGTCCAGGCCTTTCAATGCGAATCAGCGATCGGCCTTTTCACACACATCCTTTTGGTGTCGATGACGATAGAACGCAACAGATAACTTGGGCTTCAGTTTCACAGTGTTGATCGAATGGTGCCGGTATCTTTTCAACATGCAATACAGCATTCAATGCAACTTGCATTTACAATTACTACAGGGGCAAAGTATGTGCAAAAAGGTGCTTACAATTCCCAGTTCACAAGCTGCTAAAATACTGCATAACATAGATTTTTTTTGTATTAATCCTGTATAAATTCCAACTGTAACGCCCAACTGAGGCACTCTCTCAGCAAGTGCTCATCGCTACGTGACATTGTTTTATCCTTGATAGTCCTCTCGTAAATCGCACAAACGTGAATACTTAGAAGTTACATTCGAACAGCTGCGAAGAGGTACTACCGAATAAATCTAAACAATCTTTCTCGACCATACAACATTTTGAAAGCTTTTATCACCCCGCAAATGCACAGTCACTCTGACTTCCCTTTATTTGGACAATTGTTCCGGTTGTCTCATCCCATTCTGTCATCAGTAAAAGCGTCCTTTTCCATTCCCACAACCGTATCGCAAAAAATACCCCAATAAACATGGTGCAAATATTGAAAAGGAATCAACAAACTTGTGGTATAAACCCCCCAAAACGTTTGCTAACTGTTTTGCTTTTAAACCTTGTGTGTAAAAGACACTGTAACATACCGTTCATAAGCTATCAATCACCTCAGTTGTGCAATTATTTTCATGTTACCGCAGTTTTGTTCCAATGTTTTTAATTTAAATGAAGTCCAATCTCCTGTTTACTGTGATGGTGAACAAATCTGTACAGTTTACCTACATCTTTTATGCTGACTCTTTACAATAAGGTGCTATGATGTACAGTGGTACACGTCTGCTGAGTTTTTTGTGATGTTAACGATCAGAACATTTTTACTGTTTCACTTTTGTATCAATTGCAAGAGAATTTAACTTCTGAATTAAACACTGTCTAAAACATCAGTCTGTCTAGGCTCAACGTGCTTCTGTGTCATTGATGCTCCAGTGACTGAAAAATAGTCCCCGTCAGTATCAGTGACCCTTGTCTGCTTGTGACTTGCTCAGAGACAGGCAAGCTTTGAAACCCGAAGACACTGAAGAAAAGATATCATGGCGCCTCTCGGTTTGAAGACCAAATAAACTCAGTCAAATAAACTTATCTCAAGTTTCACGTCAGCACTCTTTGCATTTGCTATACTGCCTCTCACGTCAGGAGGACATCCCACGGGATTTGACTGTGCCGTAGAGTGACTGTGTATTTGTTTTGTGGGTGAACACGGCAGCCAGTTTGCCCACAGCAATGTCCCACAAACAGCCATCGAGTAAAATGACCAATTTTATGTGGGGGATTGGTGGCCAGGACACTGAGAGAAACTCGCTTCTCTTTTCGAATAGCACCATGGGATCTTTAACGGTCCACCTGAACAGGCAGACGGGACCTTGGTTTAACGTCTCATCTGAAGAACGGCATCTCCCAACAATGCTTCACCCCCAGCGCTGCATTGGAGTGTCAGTTTAGACTGTAATTCCAAGTCCCGACATGGGGCTTGAACCTATAAACATCTGACTCAGAGGTGCGGTTCCTATTACTGCGGCAGGCTGACGGAAGAAACTTCAATGCAAAACCCTTAACTTTGCATAGATGCAAAAAGTGTTTTTTGATATATAGATTTGCTCCTCAAAGCTTTTTTTCACATCTCATTCCCTTTGACCAGTTCACCCGCAACATACGCAGTCACTCCCCATTTTACAATATATTCTGTGAGGCGCTTTGAGACGTCTCAACGACATGATAAGGTACTATATCAAATGCAAGGATTCTTATTATTTATTATATTAATCAGCACAAACGGGTCTTTTTTTTTAACTGTTCAGTATCAATGGAGGATACATCACACATTAGAAATGAAATGGCTTTGATCGTTCCTTTTTCATAGTTTGGGAATGGAAGGGAGAATCATTCAAGGCTCGTCAGAAAGTTGTTTAATCTGCTATTCAATCAGTTCATGACTCCATAGATTCACCACAGCCTTCATTGTCCTCATATCCCTTTTAAACCTTTACTTTTACAAACCTGTCTACTTCCCTCTTGAAACCCACAAACTAATTGGCGTGGAATTCTCAGTTTGGTTTGGATACTCTGAAGGATTGGTGATGGATGACACCTGGCTGACCCCCCCCCTTCCCAAAAAATGAAATTTAAATAAAATAGATTTAAAAATGTGTTTTTTTTAAATAAAGACATGCAAATGCAAAGATTACTTTAAAGCGCTCTGACATACATGAAGAGCTCTAAATAAATGCAAATTATTGTTCTTATCATTCCTGGCTTGAGAGAAGGTCAGATGACCGCCTTTTCTGTTCAAAAATGTGTGAACAACTGAAAAGGCAGTAAGAATTTAACTTAACATTGGGAACTAGGTAAATAAGCAGCAAAATGTTGGCATCTAACATTTTGATGCACTCAAGTCACCAAATAACACGGTGTACCTTTGCATAGGTTCCCCAGTTTCTTAGGTCTTAAAGGCCAAGTCAACACTTGCACATCTAAATAAATGGTTTGCTAAAAACTACATTTAAAAATAATAAATTAAAACTGCTGGCTACTATTTGCAGGGCTTGGCTTTTTTTTTGGAAAACAGACGCATAAATCTGTACAGCATCCCAACACGAAGTGGAATATTATAATAATCCTTACATTTGGTATCGTGCCTTGTCATTCACATCGGGAGGACATCTCAAAGGGCTTCACAGGTTGTACCGTTAAGTGTGGTGACTGTGCATTTTGTAGGTGAACGCGGCAACCAATTTGCACACAGCAACGTGCCACAAATAGCCACGAAATGAACGATCGGTTTTTATTTGGGGGATGGTGGGGGGGGGGGGGTGTGGGTGGTGGGATGCCAGCCAAGACGCTGGTGGGCAAACTCCCTTCTCTTTCCGAATAGCGCCACGGGATCTTTAACGCCCACCCGAACAGGAGCTCGGTGTAACTTCCCCAAAGCACAGCACCTCCCAACAATCGGCCTCAAGTCATCTTTCGTGGCAATTGTCACCCTGCAAGTCAACCCATACATTTTTTTTTAATAAAGAACACACACCCACACATACATACATACATACATACATACATACATACACTTCCTGGTGTCTGTCCTCAAATTGCCCTTGAACAAGCAATTGTGCCTTGTGTTCCTGGTCCCAGTGGATGAGCTAAAAAGCACTGAGCTGGACTTCACTTTTCTCCATCCTTTACTGTGACAACCTCCACCCAGCAGGTAAGATTGTTGACTGAGTGACCTTTTTTTTTCCCATTGTGTGCTGACTGCAACGCCTGGAATGAAATTAAACCAAATGAAAGGATAGGCGTGCCTGGTTTCTGCTGGTTATGACTGTGGGAATGTAGTTTTCGCTATAAGCACAGGAGGAAAAGGGAGTGGGGGGGGTGACAGGTGTGTTTGGCAGCTGATCTCACTCAATCTCTCAGCCACAGGTAGACTGGACAAGTTACAGCTCAGTGAAAGGTGCTGGTGAGGGCATTTCCAGAGCCACAGGAGCTGAACAGCTGTTATACTTTTGATGATACGAATCCCTTTCCTATTTTCCAATGGGTTTCCTCTCACCTGCAGCTCTGTGAGAGAGAGAGAGAGAGAGGGTATAGAGAGAGAGGAAAACAACAACAAAATGACTGGGAATCGCTTCTCTGGATTTTTCCAGCAACTTTTTGCAGGTTCTCACCACAAGTACCATCCACTTCTCAACAAAGACACTCAACAAGACAAGGTGAGTGTGTGTGTGTGAGAGAGAGAGAGAGAGAGCTGCACTTAATATAATATCCCTGACTCAGGGTGACTTGCTGTCAACTTGTTGCTGTGTCCAAAAGCAATGTTCAACCTGTTGCCCAATGTAAAGCACAGACACACACACACACACACACACATAAGCAATTGTATTGTTCAGCCTAACCCGAGATGGTGTTTTTTTTAAAAAAAAACAGTTGCTAATCCCTCCGAGTCAGGTGAATGGTACTTTATCCAAATCCCTGATTGTCCAGCGCCTTAGGGATGTCCTCCCGATGGGGAAGGCGCTACACAGGTGTAATTCTGCTGCCGTTGCTGGCTGCCGGGTTTGCCCGCAACAGGTACGGTCACGACACTCCCCAGCAAGATGGCTTGGCTTCACGGCCTGATCGCCTTCAAAACTGTAGAAATTCCAGGTTTGCAGGATGAGACGTAAGGTTAAAACTAGACCCGGGCTGAGTGACTTCAGGCGGTCGCCCCACAGCTGTTCGTGGGACGTTCCCGTGCGCAAATTGACTACCGCGTTCGTTTACAAAATACACGGGTCACTACACTTGACAGCGAAGCACTTTGAGGCGTCGAGACAGAGTGCTGAGGCGCTGCAACAACTGCAAGGATCGATATAATTATTATTGATCTCTTTTGGACTTCTGTGACGTTCCAAGTTACACAGACTGTAATGTGCACATTGTAAAATGACTGTAGTTGTGAGGCAGAAATAACGCACCGCAGTTTGAAGGCATTTCCAATCCCAATGCATTGATTTTTTTTCCCCCCATTGCAAATTTGAACTCCAATGGACGTGTGATGCGGACTTAATTTAACTGTCGTTGCACTTTCGCAAGTTCAGCATCAACCTTGCAGGCAAACCTTACCCCTTACTCGTGTGCGAGTCCGTCCATGCATTGGAATCATTTTTTTAATATATAAATAAGCACTTCAGAAAACCTCCATCCATTCTGAGCATCGTTGTATTTTGCCACATTTTGCTCGAACATCGATGTGCCCAACTGAGTAAACGCCCTGTTTTCTTGGTGTGCACTTAACACGCAAGTGTGAATTCACACTAACATGGCTGCACCTTACAGTGGTGAATGGGGGGGGATTCAGTTAATGGAAGGACTAAGACTAAATGGAACTGATTTGTCATTGGTCTTTATCAAAGAGTACTGTCTCCTTTAAAAACTTCTGACTTGTTGCAGTGAGTAAACTCACTCTCCACCACGATCTAGAATCACAACACACATCTTATTTTGTTTATAAACACGCACACTGCAAACAGGAGAATGGGGAGCTTCGGTTATCAAAAGTCGGCGGAAAATATCGGCCAATTGAAGTCATATGTCCTAAGGAAGCCAGCACACAGCATGTGGAGGAGTTGGTAAGAAATCTCCAGGTGAGAACATTTTGTGATGAAGGACATTGGACTAGAAGCTATCCTCGTCATTCGACTCACTTGATTTATACATGTCGGCCTGATCCCGAGCCAACTTTTTCAAGTCACTTTATTAATTTTTATTGGGAAATAATTAGTTCCTGTATTTTAATTGTTATTTTGCTTGCACGGAAAAAGTACTCATTTCTTTAGCAGTAAAAGAAATGAATCGTCTTTCCTTTTGCTTTCCTGGACATGAATTGATGGTGTAGGACTGCAAATACGCCAATTAAGTTCATTGCTGCTGTCGATAAACAAAATTAAATTGAGACTTGCATTCATTGGCTTTAATTGGTCCGACTTTTTACCTACAGAGCCTTTAATTGACACAGTATTATTATAATATTATAAATGCACAATAACTGCACTTTACAGCAAATCCTATGCATCCTTTTGAGATGTCCTGGCTATGTGATAGGACGTTATATCAAATCCTATTTTAATTATTATTTTGATCTAAGATTCTATTTTCCACTTAACTAGAATAAGAACATAAGAATTAGGAGCAGGAGTAGGCCTTTCGGACCCTCTAGCCTGCCCCGCCATTTAATAAGATCGTGGCTGATCTATTCTAACTCCACCTACCCGCCTTATCCCAATATCCCTTTAACCCTTTACCCACAAGAAATCTATCAATCTCAGTCTTGAATATGTCCAAACTCATCCTATCCCTGAAACCCACCACTTGCTCCCTTGACCCCATCTCCACTCCTTATCTCCCAGCTCCACCTCCTTGCCCCACATATCACAGACGTTGTCAATCTGTCCCTCTCCTCTGGCTCTGTTCCCATTCCCCTAAAAACTGCCACCATCACTCCCACCTTGAAAAAACCCTCCCTTGATGCGTTGCAGCTATCAAGCTACCGGCCCATCTCCAACCTCCCCTTCCTGTCCAAGGTCCTGGAACGAGTTGTCGCCTCCCAGCTGCGCTCTTTCCTCTCCACCCATTCATTATTCGAACCCCTCCAGTCGGGTTTCCGTGCTGCCCATAGCACAGAAACTGCCCTGGTCAAGGTCACCAACGACATCCTGACCATCTGTGACCAGGGCTCCCTCTGCCTCCTCGTCCTCCTCGACCTATCGGCAGCATTCGATACGGTCGACCACACTATCCTCCTCCACCGCTTGTCCTCCCACCTCAACCTTCAAGGCCCTGTCCTTGAGTGGTTTAGGTCGTACCTCTCCCACCGGCTTCACTTTGTTTCCACGAATAGCTTTTCCTCCGGCCCCCGCACTGTCTCATGCGGTGTCCCTCAGGGCTCTGTCCTCGGTCCCCTCCTCTTCACCCTCTATATGCTCCCCCTGTGGTGACATCATCCGCAGACATGGGGTTAACTTCCACATGTATGCGGATGACACCTCACTCTACCTTTCCTCCTCTACCCTCAAATCCACGACCCCCGATGTCCTGACAGCTGTCTGTCCGACATCGAGTCCTGGACGAGAGACAACTTTCTTCAGCTCAACGTGCGTAAAACTGAGGCCCTCCTGATTGGCTCACGTCAGCGCCTCCGCACCTCAGGCGCTGACAGCATCAGCATCCAAGGCTGCACTCTCCACCTCTCAAAGCCAGTCAGGAACCTCGGGGTTCTGTTCGACCCTGAGCTGTCCTTTCTCCCTCATATCTGCGCCACAACTGGCACCGCCTTCCATCACCTCCGGAATGTCGCCAGACTACGGCACTACCTCACCCCTCACGCGGCTGAAACTCTGGTCCACGCCTTTATCACCTCAAGGCTGGACTATGGGAACTCTCTCCTCGCCGGCCTTCCCGGCACCTCCCTCCACAAGCTGCAGGTCATTCAGAACTCCACAGCTCGTGTACTGTCCCACACCAGGCTTCACGACCACATCACTCCCACCCTCGCCCTCGCTCGCCTCCACTGGCTCCCCATCCCCCAGAGGATCGAATTCAAGATCCTCATCCTCACCTACAAGGCCATTCACGGCCTCGCTCCCTCCTACCTCTCCGACCTACTATCCCCCTACCTCAATCCCCCAGTGCCTTCGCCGCTCCCTCCCTTTCAAGGCCAGTCTCAAGACCTTTCTCTTTGACCGTGCCTTCAGCTCCCCTCTCGATTCTCTACCCCCTCCTCGCTCCTTCCCCCTGACCATTTCCCCCCTCCTCGCTCCCTCCCTTCCCTCCCTCACCCTGACCATTTCCCCCCTGCTCGGGTCCTGACCCAACTGTACAGTGCCTTGGGACGTCTTCCCGACGTGAAAGGCGCTCTATAAATGGAATCTTGTTGTTGTTGTTGTTGTTCAAGGACTGAGCATCTACAGCCCTTTGGGGTAGAGAATTCCATAAATTCACTACACTCTGAGTGAAGAAGTTTTTTCTCAACTCATTGGGAAAGGGCTTACCCTAATTTTAAGACTGTGACCCCTGGTTATAGTTTCTCCAACCAGGGGAAAAAGTCTCCCACTATCTATTCTGTCGTGCCCCTTAATAATCTTATAGGTTTCTATAAGATCACCTCTAATTCTTCTATATTCTAGGCCTAAATTGCTCAACCTATCCTTATAACTCATCCCCCCTCATCCCAGGTACCAACCAAGTGAATCTACGTTGTACCCTCTCCAAGGCGAGTACATCCTTTCTTAAATAAGGAGACCAAAACTGCACACAGTACTCTCGGTGCGGTCTCACCAGGGCCCTATACAGTTGCAGCGAGACTTCCCTATTCCTATATTCTAACCCTTTTGTAACAAATGCCAACATACCGTTAGCCTTCCTAATTGCTTGCTGTACCTGCAAATTAATTTTTTGTGACTGGTGTACAAGGACATCCAAGTCCCTCTGAACGCTAACACTATCTAGTTTCTCCCCTTCTAAAAAAAATAATCTGCTCTACTGTTTTTGCCACCAAGGTGGATGACCTCACGCTTCCCTACTTTATACTTCATCTGCCACCTCTTTGCCCACTATATTAGATAATACAGAGTGGTGGATTTGAGCCGTGTTAACAAAAGATAGCTACAAAATCCCTAAATGACCTTGATTTAATCCTTCAATACGTCGATGATCTTCTTGTCTATGTACTTGTTAAATGTCCGCACTGTCTTGGGAGAGTGATGCTGCTGATGGCTGCTGTCTGTATCCTAGGCTGATCTATACAATGGCCTCACAGATTGTGATGTGCTTGAGCGTCGCATTTCGTACGGATGGAATGAATTTGGAGTGGAAAACGCTGAGCCGATTTGGAAGAAATACCTCAGCCAGGTAACTCGGGACTAAAGCAGTGGGTTTCTTTTTAAGAACCTCAGAAAAAACAGTTTCCAAGTTAAGTCTGAAATTCAGAATTTTTCACAAGGAATTTGGAGGCGAAAGTGATCCTCGGGTGGAATTTGGACCGTGGAATTTTCCCTCAAAAAAATATCATTGTAACATTACACAAAAAGAGGATCCCTTTATGTTGCAAATGTTATTTCCGTCAACTCTGTCTCCTTAATAATGCCAGGTGACATGGGAACGTAGCTCAAGGGAAACAGGAGGAGGTCATTCAGCCCATTGAGCCTGTTCCACCCAGTTTATTAGATCCTGCCTAATTGCTATATTCCTTAATATTTTACAGAAGTATTTGTCGATCTCACTCGTAGATAACCCTGTTGATTCAGCCATGCAGTTGGCAGGTTTTAAAAATTTTTGTAAGTGTACTTAGGACGGAACCAGGATCAGAGAATGATTCTTTTATAGGCATTATTAAAAGAGGTGGGACACAGAGCTGTTGTCTGCTTAACCTGAAGGTTTCAATCAATATTTAAACCAGCTTTTACACTCGACTTGGATCAAATGTGGGATGAAATTTACAATGATGGCTTCTCGCTGACACATTTGGCTGCTCTCTTTAAGCCAGTTTGCCTACACACTCACTACACTTCACAGTACATCCCGTGAAGAACTTTGAGTCATCCTCCTGACGTGAAAGGCGCAAGGATTGTTACTGTTCTTAATCGTTATTGGGTTTATTTTAAGCGGTTGTACTGTAGCCCACAGTGGTTGATTTATGCTCACACAATAAGGATCGGTCACTGGGTAAGTGAGTGAAGGGGGGCTGGTGCTTGTAACCAACCCTAGCAAAGAGTCATTCACCAGGAGGTGAATAGCAAAACAAAAACAAGCCAACAGCAATCAAATTAAAGGTGTGCATCTTCCCCATCAAATCTTCCAATTGTAAAAAAAATCATCTTTTGCTTCATGGCTTCACGTTTGCTCCGTGCAAATTGGCTGCCACGTGTGCCTACCATCACTGAGATACACAGGAAAAGTTCCTGTGAAGTGCTTTGAGATGTCTCGACGACGTGATAAGGTGCTTTTTACCACACGCGAGGATTATTTTGTAATACGTAATAAACTAAACAAGGGTACCCTACACTGAATGGGAATGAGAGACTGGTAGAGATAATATCTTTGGGGGTCGGACAATAGAGCAGATGGACGCGAGTTAAAAGCTAGAGTGTGAATCATGTGGGGGAGGTTTTTATAATTGTACCTTCATTGGTACAGTCTTGGGTTATGTTGGCACAGAGAAATGAGGAAAGAAGTGTTGAGTCATTCTAGTGTCCTTGAAAAGAGCCGGATGGAGCACTAACTAGATAAATAAAGTTAAAATATTTTGACACCGAACAAAATTAATGGGCACATTAACCAGTGTTCTACATCGTGTCCCTGATGTTTGCTCAGTGGCGTTTCCAAGATGGGAATCGATTGGAGTTTGCTCATTCACGCCTATCTTCATGCCCGGATAACAGTACGTGACGACAGCTGTTTGATGATCAACAGAAATAAAAGTTGTAGGAGCATTTCTGGACTCGCAAGAGGCCGGTGTATGCAGTCGAGTCTTAAACTATATTTATCAAAGGTTCGGTCTGACTGATGCACCCAGTATATTGAGACTGTAGCTAGATAACTCGTTCAGCTAATTCCTATACCTGATTTGCACCGTTCAAAGCGCTGCATTATCCAAGTGTGCGGTAATTTATCAGATTCCGCATCCAAAACTGGATCGACAGAAAGGATCAAGAGGCTGGTTCGGATGCACGAATGGCAAAAGCCGAATGTGCTTCCGGAAAACTACCATTATAATAATAATCCTTGCATTTGATAAAGCGCTTTTCACGTCTTCTCGACGTCCCAAAGCTGTAAAGCGAATTGACTGTATATTTGTGGGCGAAACTCGGCAGCCAATTGCGCACAGCAGCGTCCCACAAACAGTCGTGGATTGAAATGACCAATTTTATTATTATTATTAGCAGGAATTTCAGGCTTGTTCTGTCCGTGAAAATAAAGATTTTGTTTTGGGGGGGTGGGGGGTCTGTTTCGAATTAATTTTCTTGAAAAATTATTATCTGAAAGTGAAAACATTTAGCTGGGTAAATAGTGCCATGTGTTTAAAGCTAACTTTTCACATGCCTGCAGCCAGAAAGATTAGCATATAGAAACAAATTATTATTTATATAAAACTACTGCAGCCTTACATTATTTTATACCCTTTGGGTCACTATTGTGCAATTGGTAACAGGTTGCCAGGAATACTAGTTTAAGCCAGGATGCTGGACTTGTTTTAAAAAAGACAGCTGGATGCTATAATGGGAGGACAAGTAGGGTAGGTAATGTGGGATCAAATGGGCTGAAGGGCCTTTTTCATCATAATCTCTCTTGTGAAACGTTTAAACATAAGCGCTTAAGATCGCATTGGTTTGGTGTGAAAATGGCAATCTTGATGGAGTCCTGTAGCTGAATGTTTAGAGCACTTGCCTTGCAAGTGAGAGGACCTGGGTTTGATTCCCGGGCAGGGCGAAATGTTGGGCAAGTTTCCTTACTCGCACCTCTGTTTACCTACCAGTAAGTAGGAACCCGGCTGTTAGTCGATTGGCGGATCACTTTTCCAGGGTAGAATAGAAAGATTACAAAATAATAATTTGATCACTCAATCCACGGTTGTTTGTGGGACGCTGCTGTGCGCAATCGGCTGCCGCGTTTCGTCCACAAAACATAGTCAATTCACTTGACAGTATATTCTGTGAAGCGCTTTGAGACGTCTCGAAGACATGATATCAAATGCAAGGATTATTATATTATTGATTTATTATTATTATTATTAACCTCCATTCCTCTATTACAGTTCAAGAATCCTCTCATTCTGCTGCTCTTGGCTTCAGCTGTCATCAGCATCATCACCAGAGAGATTGAGGACGCAGTGAGCATAACAGTGGTAGGGACTGACATTACCACGTGCGACAGCTTGCCTTTACATAGCGTCTTTCACGCGGGTACCATCTTAAAACTGCACAACTGGAGTAATCTCATTGTATTCCTTTCACAGGCTATAATAATTGTGGTCACCGTGGCATTTATACAGGTAAGTTGCGTGTCTTTTCGGTTTAGGGGAACCCACAATGCGGGGCGGGGGGGGAAATGAGTTAGACAACCTCAGAGAGGTCCCAGGTCCAGTCCCTAATCTGTGCTGAGTTCTCCGATTTTAGCTGCAGCAGAGGGGAATACTTTGGGGAAAAAATCAGCCATGTTCCCACTCCTGACTGCTGAATATCAAGTGATGATGGGCTGAAGACTTGGGTTTGGTGTTTGGGGCCAGAGGACCATAACTGAGGAGGACTTTTTCTCCTGAGGGAGGAGGTGGGGGTGGGGGGGGGGGGGAATGAGTGCTCAATTTGGAATCTCGTCATGTTCTCCGATACGTTTTTTTAAAAAAAAATGTTCTACTTCCAGGAATACCGTTCTGAGAAGTCCTTGCAAGAGCTAAGCAAGCTTGTTCCTCCTGAAGCAAACTGGTAAGCGTTAACAATTGAAAAGAATCATTACCTTTCGTACAATACGATGCAAAGGATGGACGTGGCGGCTGGCTCACCTTCTCAGCTAGGAAAACAGCCACGTGAAGATTCAAAATAACAGTCACTGGAGGGCAATTAACAGGGTTTCGCCAGCCAAATGCACAGCCACTACACCTTATGGTAAATCCTGTGAAGCGCTTTAGAGATCTTTCCCGTCAGGGGAACGTGCTGAATCAAATGCAACGCTTGTATTGTTTTTAGTTGCTTGTTTGGTTGTGTTTGCAGCATTCGCGAGGGAAAACTGGAGCACCTGCTAGCACGTGAGCTCGTACCAGGAGACACGGTATGCATCTCAGTTGGAGACCGAGTACCTGCTGACATCAGACTCTTTGAGGTTTGTGAATTCTTGGCTTCGCCCCCGACTGGCATAGCAACTGAAACATGTCACAGATACAGTGGCGCTGGGTCGCATAGAAGCTTGTGCCTTGCGGACCTGGGGTTTGGCTTGATCACACAGACCGACTGGTTTCACCAGTGACATTACCAGCCGTGCTGGGTGGCAAACTATCATGATGCGGAAACACAGACCAGCAAAGTGCCCTGTCATAAGGCGAGTTGGCATATTCTAGACCAATCCACCCCTGCCCCCCACCCCTGCCCACCAAACGTTTGGCCCACAAAATATACAGTCAATTCACTTTACAGTATATTCTGTGAAGCGCTTTGAGACGTCTTGAGGACGTACGAAGGCGTGATATCAAATGCAAGTATTATTATATTATAACCAAACTACCACATTATAGCAGGTTCTACTGTAGTTTGTTAAGTAACTTGTACGATACTCTCAATTGGCCAAGTGATGGACGAGAGGGATTTTCTGTAAACATTTCAATGGAAGTGAAGTTTGGGACCCACCAGCGACCCGCTTTGCGCTCCATGTATTGAGAATTTTCTTTTACGTTTATAAAAAGAATGAATTTATTTCAGTGAAAATAAACTTAGATGAAGAATCGTTAGTTGCACTCGGCTCGTGTAACGTGACAGATGACACTCGCAGTGCTTTGTTGGTGTAACCGTTTGTGTTCTGTTCTCACATGTAACTTATAACTGCTGTATTGTTCTGTGTCTAGGCTGTTGACCTGTTGATTGACGAATCCAGTTTTACAGGGGAATCGGAGCCTTGTAATAAAACTACTGCCACCTTATCGGAGGCTGGGGATTTGAGTTCTCTTCTAAACATCGCATTCATGGGAACACTGGTTCAATACGGGAATGGAAAGGTATGTATGATAATAAAAATTTTCAGTCGGTGTGGAATGTTCCTCCAACTCCCTTCCCCCCCTCCCCACTTCCCTCACACGCTAATCTTCCCGTTTTGTTTCTTCTCTCCCGTCTGTAGGGTGTTGTGATTGGAACTGGTGAAAAGTCTCAGTTTGGAGAAGTTTTTAAACTGATGCAAGCTGAAGAGGTACACAGTGGAGTTTGTTGCGTTTGTTGCATTGCCCAGTTTGCATAACCTCGCAGTGTCTAGGCTGACTCCCCAGTGTAGTGGAGTCCTGTAGCTCAGTGGTTAGAGCACTCGCTTTGCAAGTGAGAGACCTGAGTTCAATTCCAGGCAGAGGGCGAAACCTTGGGCAAGTTTCCTTACTCCACACAGAGCCTAATAATAATCCCTCCAAAACCAAAAAANCAATAATAAATTGGTCATCTTCAATCTACGACTGTTTGTGGGACATTGCTGTGCGCAATTGGCTGCCACGTTCGCCCACAAATATACAGTCAGTTCACTTTACAGTGTGTTCTGTGAAGCGCTTTGGGACATCTAGAAGACGTGAAAAGTGCGATATCAAATGCAAGGATTATTATTATTATAGTGTTGGGAAGAGCCCTGAAATGTCAGAGGTGCCCTTCTACAGATGAGATGTTAAACTGAGGTCCCCTTGGCCTGTTCAGGTGAACATTAAAGACCTGTCGGCGCTATTAAAATTTATATAATAATTTGTAAAACATTGACTGCAGTTTCTTTTCTTGCACCCAGACTCCAAAGACTCCTCTACAGAAGAGCATGGACAGGCTGGGGAAACAGCTGTCAATATTTTCCTTTGCAATAATTGGTAAGTTGGCAAATGAGATTTTAATACTTTGGCTGCCGCCGTTGCCTGTGAAATACACAGTCGCTGTGAAGCACTTTGAACTGACTTGATGAGATGCTCTATCAAACGCAAGGGTTATTGAATCCCACATCCTTAACGCTGTGGACGTTCTGCGGTTCGGTGGTGCTTTCCTGTGTTTCCCTTGGGCATCTGCTGCAGAGACAGATGTGCCAGAGGCTTCCTACAGGGAGAACTACAATTGTAATTCCATTTAATATAACCCAGCAAAAGGCTTGTAGAGGGAAACATACGCCTCACTCATCACACTTAACCTTATGTTAGCATTCCCCTCGGGGAACCCTCCATGTTTCAATTAGACCTCATTTACCATTAAGTCTGCCTTAATTCAACGATTTATTTACAATTTTAATGCAAACAACACAGAACATCATGTTCAGAGTAAAGCATTTTATTCTACTTGTCAGGGCAGCTCAATAACTCGAGATTGAACTGATTTGCAGGTTATCCTCCCTCAGACGGTACATTTTTGCCATTTGCTTGTTTTGTTTCTGGGTTACTTGTCTCTTTTTTTTTAAAAAAATACTCAATGAGAATGAAGCTTTTGTCTGGCTTTAATGGGCCATTCAGAAATGTTCAGGACATTACATTGATGGCAATCGATATCGCAACATGCAATAGCAAACCTCGATGCTAACCCGCCCATTGTGGGGTAGAAATTCCATCTGTTTTCCAAGCTAAGAATACTAAGTGTAGAATTTGGCTAATTCTGAAAACCAGCCTTGCTTTTTTTTTCATCAAAATATCTTCAATGTCAAGATTGAATTCATCGATCTGCCAACTTTTGCCTCTCTAAAACACTCAGAAGGATAGAGTGAATCTACACCCACGTAGAACTTCTCCCCCGCAACTTTTAATCTCTAAATTTCACATAGTTTAAGAAAAGATTAATTCTTCCAATAAGGAGAACGCTGTTTGAATCTGGGGGGATGGGACAGTTCTACCTTGAACACTTTGTGTGGAGGCATTTCTGATTAGATGCAGCTTTACTAATTACACAATGGTGTGGCGAATCGAGATAATTTTATTCCAAATGCATTTTATTGACGGGTACAAATATTGCCATTTCGTACAGGTTTAATGATGGCAATTGGCTGGTTGCAAGGGAAGAAACTGCTTGGAATGTTTACTATCGGAGTTAGGTAAGAACACAAAGAATACCTCTTAGTCATTTTCTCCCTCGCCTGAGTGAATCATTTGCTTGACAGTTCAGGTTTAGATGCAAGTCACACCTTGTGGCGGGAATTGTTCTTGGGAAAGATTTGGAAACATTTTCTGGCACGAGCATTTGAACTCGATATTTGAACCGTTTTGAAGTTAACCTGTTAAGTTTCCTTTCTGTTTGATGCTCCTCTCCCTTCCCTACATTCATGTTCTCTCTCTCTCTCATACACACTGGCGTTTAGCAATTCATATTTTTCTCAAGCGGTGCAAACCTCTTGTAGATGAGACTGGCAATGGAATGCGTGAAACAATCACATAAACCGCACTTTTGTGTGGTTGAAGCTTAACTAAGTGATACAAACTTATACCCTTTGTATGATTCTGTAATAAGTGAAATTGCCGTCAAATATTGATTGAGTGAGTGAGAATTATGTTGGAGATTTCTTGGCAATATCTTTTTGATATTGATGGTTTGAGCGTCGTTTTTTATAAAAACAACATGGACACATTTTTATAAATATATGAAGAAGCTATCAAAGGTAAATGTGGGTCCGCTTCAGGCAGAGACGGGGGGGATTATAGTAGGGGACAAAGACATGGCAGAGTGTTTAAACAAGTACTTTGCTACTGTCTTCACCTTAGAAGACATTGAAAACCTACCAAGATTAGAGGGGAACCAAGAAGAAAATGTTAGCGAGCAACTTGGAGGAATTAATATTAGTAAAGAAATAGTTTTAGGTAACTTGTCAGGTCTTAAAACTGATAAATCTCCTGGACCTGATGGCCTACATCCTAGGGTTTTAAAAGAGGTGGCTACTGAGATAGGGGATGGTTTGTCTTTGATCTTCCAAAATTCTCTGGATTCTGGAACGGTTCCCATTGATTGGAAGATTGCAAACGTAAGACCACTATTTAAGAAGGGTGGGAGAGAAAAGAGGGGGAACTATGGACCAGTTAGTCTGACGTCAGTGGTAGGGAAAATTCTTGAGTCCATAATTAAAGATGTCGTTATGGGATTCCTGGAAGACCATAACAAGATTAGGCAGAGTCAACATGGCTTTACAAAAGGGAAGTCATGCTTAACTAATCTTTTAGAGTTTTTTGAAGATGTATCTAGCAGGTTAGATAGGGGGGAACCAGTAGATGTAGTATATTTAGATTTTAAAAAGGCATTTGACAAAGTGCCACACAAAAGGCTATTGCACAAGGTTAAGGCCCACGGGATTAATGGGAACATATTAGCATGGATTGAAGAGTGGCTAACGGGTAGAAAACAGAGAGTAGGAATAAACGGGTCATTCTCGAATTGGCAGGAGGTGACTGGTGGAGCGCCACAAGGATCAGTGCCTGGGCCTCAGCTATTTACAATTTACATCAATGATCTAGACGAGGACATTGAATGTAACATATCTAAATTTGTGGATGACACTAAACTCGGTGGGAGAGTAAGCTCTGAGGGTGATGCAAAAAGATTGCAAAGGGATATAGATAGGCGAGGGGAGTGGGCGAGTAGGTGGCAGATGGAATTTAATGTGGGGAAGTGTGAAGTTATTCACCTAGGTAGCAAAAATAGAAAAACAGATTATTTTCTAGAGGGGGAGAGATTAGATAGTGTTAGTGTTCAGAGGGATTTGGGTGTCCTTGTACACCAGTCTCAAAAAGTTAGTTTGCAGGTGCAGCAGCAACTAAGAAGGCGAACGGCATGTTAGCGTTCATTGCAAAAGGTTTAGAGTACAAGAGTAGGGAAGTTTTGCTGCCACTGTATAGGGCCTTGGTGAGACCGCACCGAGAGTATTGTGTGCAGTTTTGGTCTCCTTATTTAAAAAAAGGACATACTTGCCCTAGAGGGGGTGTAGCGTAGATTCACTCGGTTAGTTCCTGGGATGAGGGGACTGACCTATGATTTTAGGCTGAATAAACTAGGGCTGTATTCTCTAGAGTACAGAAGAATTAGGGGAGATCTTATTGAAACATATAAGATTCTTAAAGGGCTGATAAAGTAGACACAGAGGGACTGTTTCCCCTGGTAGGAGAATCTATAACCAGGGGTCACAGTCTTAAAATTAAGGGTCAGCCTTTTAGAACAGAGTTAAAGAAACATTTCTTCACTCAGAGGGTAGTGCATTTATGGAAGTCACTATCCCAGAAGGCTGTAGATGCTCAGTCCTTGAACATCTTCAAGGCTGAGACTGATAGATTTTTAAAACATAGAGGGATTAGGGGATATGGGGATAGGGCAGGTAATTAGAGTTAGGTCAGAAGATCAGCCATGATCTTATCGAATGGCGGGGCAGGCTCGAGGGGCCGAATGGCCTACTCCTGCTCCTAATTCTTATGTCCTTGTATCCACTGGAATGGTTGGGGAAAGGAAAAACAATGGGTGGAAAAGTGAACCAGAATTCTGAGAAGATAAAGCCAGGCAAATCCTTGGTGTCTTAGGCAATGGTCTGCCTGACATATCAGTTTAGTGAGACTTCGAAGAGCAGACATGTGTACCAAATGAGTTGGTTGGTACGAGGTGGATGAGTACCGAGAGTTAGCCATTCTCATGACCTGAAAGAGCTGAATCTTGTACGATCAACAGACCAACAAGTACAGAGATGTGCATATTCCAAATGCGGTTAATGTAGAAACACAACACTAGTGACTGGTGAAAGACTGCATTGTCCATCCCACTTTGTAGTTTTTGTGTTGCAAATTAGAGGTCGGTTAATTTTAGCACAAAGCTGGATGAGCTTTGGTTAAGAATTAACAACATTTCCCATGTCGTCAACTGTGCAGTTTAAATAATACATTGTGTTCTAAGTAAAATATGATTCATCTATGTGGCCATTGGCTCAACAAAGGCATATTTTTATTTACGGTCAACATTGCAACACGACTTATCTCAGCCCTGGGTTCAATGGGTTTTGATTAGTTAACAGAGTTCCTCATTATTTCAGTCTTGCCATTTAAAATATTTTGACATTCCTATGACTACAATGAGATAACGCACTCCAAGACTGCAATACCATTGTATTATACTCAATGTGTGTCACCAAGATTTGCAGTTCTGTCAGATTCAAGACCTCAAATTCTTGCCTTATTGATCACAAAGCAAATCTTTTAATAATCTGAGTCAATGATGGGTTCAAGCCTCAAGGCAGGAACTTTGAGCTCCGGGTCAGGACCAACTCTGCATTGTGAGGAGGTGCCGTACTTCGGATGAGATGTTAAACCTGGACCCGTCTGCCTGTTCAGGTGGACGTTAAAGATCCTGTGGCATTACTCGAAAAGAGAATTGGAGTTTGGCCAACAATCCCCCAGATAAAATTGATCATTTCATGGCTCTTTGTGGGGTCATTCCTGAGTCCAAATTGGCTGCCACCTTTTACTTGTGAAATACACAGTCAGAATACTTCAGAGTAAATCCTGTGAAGCGCTTTGTGACATCCCGCTGACATGAGAAGGGTGGTATCAAATGCAAGGATTATTATATCCAGGTTCTCGCACTTGCTGGTATGAAGCGCTCTGTCTGAGATGCTATCCTGCGTGGAGGGCACTATATATAAGTGCATGTTGCTATTGTTGTATATGGATTAATTTCCCCTTTGGCAGTCTTGCCGTTGCAGCCATTCCAGAAGGCCTACCTATCGTTGTAACGGTCACACTTGCGCTGGGAGTGATTAGAATGGCAAAGAAGAGAGTGATCATAAGGAAGCTTCCTGTTGTGGAAACCTTAGGTAATGAAAGCCATGTCCTTATTTCTTCCAGTTTTAAGTTATCTATCCAACTTCGTGAGAAACATAACAACATGCAGGTTGATCTTTTGTTACATAATTGTTCTCTATCTCCATACGTGCAGATAATTATAAGGCGATCCAGATATTAGGAGTTCGCTAGGTACTCTTTACTTAAGTAGTACAATTTCATAGAATTGTTTGCACCTCGCAATAAAAGGTAGCGCTTGTTCGATTTGTGGACGTCTTTCCAATTTATTCTATCTCGTTTCAATGCATTCTTGAACCTTTTTCTGAAGAAAATTAGCCGCTGTTTGTAAATGGAGATGCATAGTGACTGGACACTTTATTTTGTAGGTTGCTGTAACGTCATCTGCTCTGACAAGACTGGCACCCTAACAGCCAACGAAATGACCGTAACTCGCTTGGTGACTTCGGATGGCATTGAAGCTGAGGTGGGTACTGAGGCCCTTTGCTGTAAAACGTTCTGTTAAATACCAGTGGAGAGGAAGGTTCTGTGTTAAATAAACGGAATGCTTGAAACAGATAAGAACCTTATCTTGCAGGAGGAAAACATAATTAGACTTACTGGCACTGAGATGTGCTCGTCAATATAAAATTAATAATCATAACCCTTGCGTTTGATAAAGCAGGCACTGTGTGTTTTGTAGACCAACTTGAGAGCCAATTTTACAGCAATGTCCCACAAATAGCGATGAAGTGAATGATTAATTCTATCAGGGAGGATTGTCAGCTCGGATACAGGGACAAACTCCCTTCTCTTTTCCCACTAGTGCTGTATTAGCTACTCAGTCACTCTCGATTAGAGTAAAACAGCAAGAGGTCATCACTTTAGGAAGAAGTTACCAAGTATGACCCATCACATTGAGTAGCGCTATCTGAAAATGGTCAGTGCTAAAGAAGGGATGTCTGGTAACCTAACAAACATTTCCAAGTGGTGACTGAGTCATGTCCTTTGTCAAACAGTGTCCGTGTTTTCTAGGTGAGTGGTGTGGGATACAATGGAAATGGGAAGGTGTATTTACAACCCAGTGGGGAAATTGTGATGCCATTCTCTAACGTATCGGTGAGAAAACTGGTCGAGGTGAGTAGTGTTGTAGTGAAAGTTCAAAGATTCCGTTCATTCGTGAGCCGTGTTCCTCCTGCCTACAATGTATTTCCTTATAGGCTGGATGTTTGTGCAATAATGCCGTCATCAGGGAAGATGTACTGATGGGACAACCAACAGAAGGTGCCTTAATTGCACTTGGAATGAAGGTAAGTCTTAAAGCAAATATAACTTGGTGCTTAACAATACGTTATGCTAATACGGTTTCCTAACTGCCAGCTCACGTCAGGATGTGTACCGTAAAAGCCACACAACCCATTTGCGAAGGATAATGAAACTTACAATCCTCGTTTATCCACAGACAGACAAACACACAGTGTGCCAAAGCAAATAATATAATACTGAAGAACATCCTTTCCCCTCGAGCTGAAAGTTATTGTTTAGCAAATGTACTTCTGAAATTTTTTTTTTGTTTTTTTTAAAAAAAGCAAGCTTGCTGGTTTTGAAAGGTTACATTAAAAAAAATGTAAAATTGTATTTTACGTTGAAGATGGATCTGGAGAGAATCAAGGAGAGCTACACGAGGAAGCAAGAATATCCCTTTAGTTCTGAACAAAAATGGATGGCGGTTAAATGCACCTACAAGGATCAGGTAAGCTATTCTGTGCCATCGGGCTTTCAAAGAGGTGTCTTATTATTGATTGGGTCCGTGTGACTTTGTTGGTACTGATTTGGCCTTTGTGGACGTTTAAAGGAATCCGAAGACATTTACTTCATGAAGGGAGCTTACGAGGGAGTGATTGAGTACTGCAGCAGTTATAACAATGGGGGAATATCTGTTGCGCTGACTCCACAGCAGAAGAACGTATACCTGAAACAACAAGCGAAGCTGGGAAATGAAGGCTTGCGTGGTAGGTTTAATGGTCTGAAATTCCATCTGGTCTTAAACCCATGAGACCGCTCAGTCTTAAAACTGAGGATTGCAAGAAATTGTGGACAATTCTTAAATCCGGTCTCAATTTGGGAGGCGGAATTATTGTTAATAATAATAATTCTTGCATTTGAGACAATGCCTTCGCATCAGAAGGAAGTCTCGAAGTGCTTCACAGGATTCACTGTAAAATGTAGTGATTGTGTACTTTGTAGACGAATGTGGCAGCAAATTTGATGAGGATTGTTAAAAAGAAATCCTATGGAAACAGTGCTGAGATTGCAAATTTTCTGAGAAATTTTAAAATCTAACGTTCGTTTATTTAAAAATAAGAATACAGATTTTTATTCTGGTTACATAAATACTGTCATAGTCTGAAAGGATGAAGATGTTTCCTTGTTGTGTATCTACCTGTTTAAGCCACCCACCATTACCTATGTGTGCTGTCCGAATATACCCCCAGTTTAACAAAAAATAGTCATTCTGCCACATTTGGCTAGAAATACACAGTCGTTAGGCTTCACAGTAAAATCCTGTGAAGCACTTTGAGAGGCCTTGATGGGTGGTAAGGCACGGCATGAAATGCAAGAATTATTAATATTTCTGATTTACAAAAGATCAAGCAACTAGTATTGCCTTGTCATTCCTTTTCTTGATTATTGCTCTATATAGAGGGACAATGTGTACATTAATTTCAACGGCTCCTGCACACTGTGTACTGAAAAGACAATGATTGCTTTCAACAAGGTATTTTCTTGTTTGCTTTTTCCAGTACTTACATTTGCCTCCGGACATGAATTGGGCAAACTGAATTTCTTAGGCCTGATTGGAATTATTGATCCCCCGAGACCTGAAGTCCAAGAAGCAATTCGCATCCTTCAAAATTCAGGAGTTGATGTAAAAATGATAACTGGAGACTCCAAGGAAACGGCTATTTGTATAGGTATTGTATAACAAGATGAATTGCAGCACAAACAACACTTTAGATATGAACGTTGATATGAACGTTCATTTAGATATGAACGTTGCTAAAAGGTTTTGGGAACCATGCACAATAACATGGTGTTGCCACCCTTTTCCTTTTCCATTCTCTGCAAGGTACGGTTCTATGGAACCCAATGAATAAGGGTTATGTGGTGTGTAAAAAAAAAAAAATAGACCGCATCGAAAGGGCGGAGATAACAAATAGACAGAATGTCGTCATTAACATTTGCGGCAGAATTTAATTATGGTTGGTCATGTCATTCTCTCAGTTGGTCCAGATTTCCAGTGTAGGTCGATTTAGATAACCAAATTGGAAGTCTAAAGATATCTTTGCTGGAAGTGGCATTGTGCAGTGAGGTCGTTTTGAACAGTAAAGCAGAGAGAAATGACAAATGCACGCAGACTAATGAGACGTTTTAAAACGAGCGACGTGACGAAGTGCGGTGCTGTGAAGTGTTCATTTACAGCGGGTAATTTTTCTCCAATTTCGTGTGCAGGGAGAAGTATAGGCCTTTACAATGATGAGATGGAGGCAATGTCAGGAGAGCAGCTGGGACAGCTAGAGGATAAAGATCTATCGCACATGGTGAAAAAGGTAAGGTTTTGCCTATCCCCACCCGAGTACACAACAACATGCATTCGTATGGCGCCCTCCACGCTGGGTAGGGCTTACACTGGTTCACACAAACGGTTTCAGTTTTGTAGCATAGTTAACAAATCGATCGACGCGTTTGCAATCAGTTGCAATCAATTTTCTGTCATTTCAAGTCCCTCTGGGTGACTCGATCAATATATGCAATAACCGGCAACTTTGCAACGATTTTTTTTAAAAAAAACAACTTGGATTCAGTTTGCTTTGGTTTCAATAATAAAAGGAATGTTCCAATTTTAAGGCAATCCATGTATCACTTACACATCCCTCTCCTTCCTTTCCTCTACCCCAATCCTTATCAGGTGGCTGTTTTCTTCAGAACAAGTCCAAAGCACAAACTGAAGATAATTAAGGTATAACTCTGGTTTTATTTCATTGCGGGGGTTAATTCATTCATTTTTAAAATCATTCATTTTCCGTTAGGACACTTATTTTGGGGTGGGGAACTTCATACCACGTACTTAATAAAAATGCAATAAAAGTTGTTGTTAATTTGAGCTCTACTGGAATCCTGGTCAACGTCACCAGTGACAGTAAATTTAGTCGAACTTTCTTCCCATTTCGATCCCCCCATTTCTTTCCTGAACGTAATGAGATAACACGGGGGTAAGCTTCCATCCACAAGTGCGAGCTGCCTTCTGTTGTTAAGACCAGAAGGCAATAGTTTGTTGGTAGGTTGAGTCTAGATAGTGCGGGTTGGCAGGCTGTTTCGGGAGGAACGCAGCCATCTGGGTTTATGATCTTGCCTGGCATTCACGAGCTGGGACACTCTATTGGGATGTCAATGGATAACTAACTGGAGTGGGATCCCTGGCTCATCGTTTTCCCCCTTTCAAGCTCAACGGGCACGTGATGCGGAGCCAATTGTAGCACGATTGCTTTCCCGACAGATCGGTCAATACAGGGTAGACTGATGGGGAAAGAACCAAAGACAGTTCGGTACAGTTATGCATTGAGCTGTAATAACTTAGCCGTTTGGCTCATTTGTTCAGATTTATGTTTCTGCTGCTTTGTCGCTAAATGCACGTGGGGGCAAATCTAAGGGTGTGAATCCATCACTCAAACTGTTGCTGTTTAGGCTCTGCAGACCCACGCGGCAGTGGTGGGGATGACAGGCGATGGCGTGAATGATGCTGTCGCTCTGAAATCCGCTGACATCGGCATCGCCATGGGGAAAACGGGGACCGATGTCAGTAAAGAAGCAGCTGGCATGATCCTGGTGAACGATGACTTTTCCTCTATTTTGTGAGTACCTTTGGGACTTGCGCAGCTTCAAGAAAACTTTTTATTTTTTTGAGATCCGGAAAGAAAGTTGAAGGAGGGCGAAAAAGTGACCGTTGAAATGTTATAACGGTCACTGGCACAGGATAATCGGCTAAACTGTTGTTTTCTAGGTGTGCAATAGAAGAAGGCAAAGGAATCTTTTACAACATTAAAAACTTTGTCCGATTTCAGCTGAGCACGTAAGTTTTTTTTAATGTTTTTTTTAAAAAAAAACCACTGCAATTGGTAAAAGTAAATGCTGTCTGTTATTTTGTTCGCAGTTTAACTCTGTTCCTTTTAAATGCGTAGGAGCATTTCGGCTTTGAGTTTGATCACTTTGGCTACTATATTTAATTTGCCAAACCCGCTGAATGCCATGCAGATTCTGTGGATCAACATCATTATGGACGGGCCGCCTGCTCAAAGGTACGTGTTGCCTCCTTGAAACCAAGAACAAAGTTGTGTAATCCAGTCAGGTCTATGTGTTCAAATAAGCTATTGTACTGCGTCGCAGCATACAGTATTCTGTCCACACCCTACTCAGCGCTTTGGGACGTCCTCCTGACGTGAAAGGCGCTATACAAATTCTGCTCCACTACTGTCCGCTTTCGTTCAGCTGGTTCAGGTCTTCTGCATTTCCCTCGTCCCCTCCGCTCCATCATTGGCGGCAGTGCTTTCAACTTCTGCGCCCCGAATCTCTGGACCTCCCTGGATGAATCACCCCCTCTCTTATCTATCTTTAAATCCCACTTTAAGACCTACCTCTTCAGTTACGGTAATGATCACCTCTCCTCATCACCCCACCCCCCCTTTCCCCCCTCCCAACCACCCTGCTATCGTGCATGAAGTTGCGTTGTATAAATGAGGGCCGTTATTGTAAACGGTTAATTTTTTTGAAACTTGCAAAGCAAGATTTTTTACGTTCTGTTGAGCCAGCATGAGCATTTTGGACTTGAGTGAGGGTCACATCCTAATGGCACGTTAAGAATGCAGCAGGAGGTTTTACTGTAGGTGTTCATTTATTTTTGCCCATTGTTTTCTGTTTATAGTTTGGGTGTGGAGCCAGTGGACAAGAACGTCATTAAACGTCCTCCAAGAAATGTCAGAGACTCTATCCTCAATAAGGGCTTAATTTTAAAAATCCTATTCTCTTCTTTCATCATCATTTGTGGTACTCTCTTTGTCTACTGGAAGGAGGTGGGTACAGTGTGAGGAACTTTGTTATATTCATACAAACAAATGCAAGATACTTACCATTCTAATTAAAAGATAATTAAACCCTCAATGTTAATTATTGTCTGATAGTCAATAACTCATAGGTACATTTTGCTCGTGGTACAATTTACCCGTAATCATTACATTTGTTTGGAATGAGCAGGTTGTTTCAGTGTTGGGACACAGAACTGGAAATAATTAGAAATGATAGAAAAGAGAATTGCTGTTACAGTACAAAGACACGTTCCCAAGCACTTTGAATTAGTGGGATTCGGGTTTTATGGTAGGTTTCTGACCCGTAGCAGTGCCATTGGATGAGGTGCCAACCACAGGTGATTCCCCTTTCCTTTGTGGAGAGAAAATTATGCCTCCAACCAAAGCAGTCTAGTCTGGACCTGCCTGCTTTCTCAGCCAGGAAACGGCAGTGCGGTATTGCTGTAGGTAAACGGAAAGAAACGCAAGTGGGGACCAGTTTCCTCTGAATTTTCTCTGACCGCTCAGGAAACGAGCAAAAATCCAGAGCGAGCAATGCTGCCAACAATGCAGTACATGCCGCTTGCCATGCAAACAAACATTAATGTCAGTCTTGCACACGTACATCATATATGACCTACAGCAAGCTAATCATATGGGACAGCTTTTGCCCTGAAAGATCCACTTGGCATTACAGGTTGCACATAAGTGAGTTGCAATGGATAAGACTTTCAGCATTATAGCACCACGGTAACTTTGTGCCTTTTGTGTTTAGCTTCCAGAGGGAAGGATTTCCTCAAGGACAACAACTATGACCTTCACCTGTTTTGTCTTCTTTGATATGTTCAACGCTTTAAGCTGTCGTTCCCAGGTATAAACTGCTCTTACTGTACTTTCAGAACAACACAGTTGTATTTATATTTAAAAAAAAGGCCTTTCAGCTCATACTCTCTAAACTGATGCTCCTGGGCTGCATTATTATCCTTCAGATGAGACAGTAAACCGAGGTCCGGTCTCCTTTTCAGGTGGACATTAAAGATCCCATGGCCAAGCGAGCTTCTTCCAGTGTTCTGGTCAACAATCTCCCAGATAGATAAAATTGGGGTATTCACACCATTGGCTATTTGCAGGGTGTTGCTGTGAGCAAATTGGCTGCAGTGTTTGCATACAAATGGTGGGGGTGGGAAACTGTGTGAAGCACTTTTAAGACATCGTAATGGCGCTGTACCAAACACAAGGATTACTATTATTACGTTTGATTTCTATCTTCCACCAACTAGTTTCAGCAGTAGTGAGTTACAGAGGGCTCAGGAAGAGGGATATGGTAAGGATTACGAATGATAATTTTTCATCTCGTTACTTTCTAGACGAGATCCATTTTCCAAATCGGTTTCTTCAGTAATCACGTGTTCCTGTGTGCGGTGCTTGGCTCGATCCTGGGACAAATGGCTGTGATCTACTTCCCACCACTACAGAAAATTTTCCAGACGGAAAGTCTCGGGTTATTCGGTATGTGATTAGTTGGTGCATTTTAACATGTTTATTTACGCTTAAACATCAACTTCTTATCTCTTCTAAAATACACACAAGCAGTTTTTTATAGCAACTGCTTAAAGTTGCAGCTTTCCATGTTCCATTCCAGAAAGCTCGAGGTGTGGAATCAATAGAGATGTTCAAAAGCGAGATGGAATATCTGGTATGAAGGGGAACGGAGAAAGGTTGAGACTTAAAAGATCTGAACAAGGTTTAATAAACCCGTGGAACAGGCTCGAAGGGCTGAATGGCCTCCTCCTATCCCTGTTCACTTACCTTCCTAAAAGTCGAAATAAAAACAAAACTCTGGCATTCTGGCCTCAACCACCCTTCCCGGTGACCTGTTTCAATCATTTAATTATTTAATAATTATTAATCATTTAATAATTACCCTCTGGTAAAGAAAGACAATTCCAGCAGCCAATTCTCATTGCAAACCTTTCTCGGACAGTATATTTTGAGCGCTCTGAGACGCTACCCTGTGTGAAGGGTCCTATATAAATGCAAGTTACTGTTGTACGTTTATATTAAAAAAAAGTTGAACTATTATTTTATTATGGGATACATTTTGAACCTAAATGTGCGTCTGTAATGTATATGCGCCTGGTTTTCCTGTAAACTAAAAGACTTTTGGTTTTCTGATTCCTTCACAGACTTGCTGTTTCTAGTAGGTTTATCCTCCTCGGTGTTCTTTGTTTCCGAAATTGTCAAGTTAAGCGAGAGAATGTGGTTATGCATTGGACAGAGGAAAACTAATCCCAATCTCGACTCACAAGTATGACCGCGCTTGACAAGAGAGTACACATCACCGCAGACCTGTCTATATATATATATATTTTTACATAAATTTTTATCATTTAAAAACCTTAACTATGACCCTGCGTTGGACGGACGTCATCGTGTGCGCTGGACCGACTTGCGAAAGGGACGATGCTGTTTTCAAAACGGCAGCTGTGGAGTTCAATTCCGATTTGCATCCTGGGAGGCCGTGGAGACCGGGTGAAGTTAACCGCTCTTGTACTATCTCGCTTCTCTCTTGTCTTACGTGAGCATAACGACAGTTTCAAATTGCAATGCGTCAGCCCCTCAGCAGTTTCTCTCGACGAGAAAACCCAGCAAACGGCACTTTGTTCCCTCTCGATTCTGCGGGAAACCTTAAAATGTCTGTAAACCCCCCCGCGAGCCACGGGATCTCCCTCGACGTTATGTTTAGAGAGGTTCTGTAATAAGTTTGACAGTGCACCCACTTGAAAGTACGAAGGTCAATGCGAGGGAAAGAATTGTAACGGTAATAATAACGGTGCATTGATCCTCAAAAGATTTTTTTTTTTCGTCTTCAAAGCACAGGGGTTTTGTGAGGTGTGTCGAGGGGTTGCACTCGGGCAGTCCCGTGAAGGCAAGTTGAATTATTTCGACCCTGAGGGAAATGGTAGCCCCAAATTAGTTAAACTGTTGTTGAGCGTGAATGTGTCTCATAAGTTTTGCACACCGTATCACAGGTTTGCCTTCCCCCTGTGTGATTCTCATTATAGTGAGATTTCAACCGGAGAGTCTGATCGACTGAGTAGGAATGCCCTCGATACTGCAACTTATGACACTGGAACAACTCGATGTACTTTTCTTCTCTCTCTCTCGCTCTCCACCACACATTTCACCAGGAACCACGACTACACCAAATGTCTATAGGTTTACATTAGCAATGAGTAGAGATGCACTACAGGTTTTTGAAAACTTAAAAATAGAGACCGGGTCACTCTGTGAGCAGCAGTAGCTATGTGCAAAGTAGTAAAATAATTTCCACGTTTAATTCAAAACTTATTGGAAAGCAAGGTATTTATTTCTGTGAAAGAACATTTGTTTTCAATGGGCGATGTATTGTATGTATGTTTGCAAAAAAANTAATTGCACATTCTAAGATTAATGTATCATTTGGCAAACAAATGTACCATGAGGGAGGGGGGGAAATTTACCCAAAGGTATTGTTTAAGAATGACTTTGTGATTTATGGTCATAAAATTGAAAGATTTGGCAGATGCTCCAGGTTGTATTTTTTAACCTCACCAGCTACTTATACTGAATTTACTTTCATTTTTTCCCCCCCATTTCAATTTAATGTTCTGCTTGCTAAACTATTCCAATGTTTATACGAATATTAATTTCAAAGAGGTGAGTTTTTCCCAGAAGTGAAACTATTTATGGTGTTTCATAAACACTGTTGTTTTTGTGATCGCTATCGCCCAACACACTGCATATTTTAACATAACAGGGAAAGCACACATAAAAGACCTTGACTTTAATGACCAGAACTCTTCAAAAAAAATTCCAATTTATTTTTTTAAAAAGTGCAATCAAATCCTAGAAGTACAAGTTGTAGGAACTCGGAACAAACAAACAAAGAAATGTAGTACAATGCATCCTTGCGTTTATAAACTGCAGTGTATTGAATGTCACAGTGTTCAATGCAACAGCGTTCTCCATGAATCAGATAATACTCAAATGTGTGCCAACAAAGTTTGGTGTTAAACAATAAGACTTTGTGGAAAGAAAAGCAATCCAAATAGGTACCTGTCGGGAACGCAATGTCTGCATAGTCTTTTCCGTGAGGAAGAACGTTGAAAAACAAGTGCTTTTAAAACCCCGAAACATTTCTCCTTGTAAAAGAGAAGACAATGCGATCACTAAGGGCTGAAATGTTGCCTTTGTGCGCGGGAACTAATGCAATATGGATCTCGATGTCTAAATGGTGAACTTGGCTAAGGCCAGTGGCAAGTTTCATGTGGGGAGGGGTGGAAATCATCTCCATTCTAATCATTTGACCCATCTTAAAACTCTTGAACAATGATGTAGAGACATGGTAAGTGTCCAAACAAAAACCCTCCAAATAATGAGATGTCTCTGTTTTCCCCCCACCACTACCACCTTACCTCCCCCCCTCTCCCCCATCCAACTTTACCTCCTTTTCCCTCTTTCTGAAAGAGTCAATTTTGCCAAGAGCAAAGATTTGTTCTTTAATTCAAGAACATAGATGTTCAACCCAAGGAGTCATGCGTTACAATCCGGCAATGGATTTTCTTTTTGTTTGCCATCGCAAGGAATAGAGAGCCTAAGGTTCTGCTCCCACTTCCCAGACAATTTAGATCTTCTACAGTCAGATATCACAGAGATATTTGATTGGATGTTCACTTGAGGAATAACGGTGACAATTAAGGGCTCGTGTTTTATTTTTGTAGCTGTCTATCAGGCTCTTTCAAAAAACGTGTCTAAGAAGAATCATCATCCTCGTCATCAGCCCGTTCTCGCAGTCCTTCACTCTTCCTCGTTTTGTTGATCATTTCCAGCAAGGCCTGCGCTTCGAGATCAGAGTCTAGTATGCTCTTGGTCTTAGTCTGGAAGTAATGAGAAATAATTTCATGTTCGGTCTGCAAGTTGTCAGCGCGGCTCAGTCAGTCGGTTAGAGATAAACGCTCTGGCACTCTATCCTGAGCGAGGGGCACTATATAAACTCAAGCTGTTCTGGGTTCGAACGCCACACACACACCGGGACTTTGAACTCATATAGCCTCAATGCGGGGATAATCTTCAAATTGGAGCTAGGCCATTTACGAGTGAAATCAGGAGGCACTTTTTCACACAAATGCTCATGGAAATCTAGAACTCTCTTCACCCAAAAGGCTATGGATCCTGGATCCATTAAAATTTTCAAGACTGGGATGGTCAGTTGTTGTTAGGTTGGGGGATCAAGGGATATGGAGTATAGAGGGTAAATGGATTTGAGGTACAGATCAGCCATGATCCAATAGAACGACGTGACAGGCTGAATGTCCGTCTACTCTTGTTTCTATGTTCCAGCCGAGCCAAGTGTGACTCATAGCAATAAATCCTTTTTACAGCACAGTTGTGCCTGAGAGCGAGAGACCTTTTACTTACATTCATCTTTTTGGGTGAGGCTCCCACAGCCCAGACCTCCAACACATCGATTGCAAAGTTTTCTTTGCCAGAGAGCTGGGGGCTATTGTAGGTCGTGCAGCGAGGCTTGGCTTTGCTGTGTCCAGTCCCATAGTCGCTATCGATCCACAATCCAAAGTAATTGTGTTGCCCTCCCATGCCCTGTGCAGGAATCACATGATGAGCAAAGCATCTGCCAGTGAGGTGAGCAACATGCAAGTTGTGTTAACCATGTGTAAACAACAACAACAACAAGATTCCATTTATAGAGCGCCTTTCACGTCGGGAGGATGTCCCAAGGCGCTGTACAGGGGGAAATGGTCAGGGTGAGGGGAGGGAAGGGAGGGAGCGAGGAGTGGGGAAATGGTCAGGGTGAGGGGAGGGAAGGGAGGGAGCGAGGAGGGGGTAGAGAGTCGAGAGGGGAGCTGAAGGCTCGGTCAAAGAGAAAGGTCTTGAGACCGGCCTTGAAGGAGGAAAGGGAGGAAGCGGCGAAGGCACTGGGGGATGGAGTTCCAGAGCCTCGGGGCTGAGAGGCTGAAGGCCCGGCCACCGATGGTAGGGCGGTTGGGGCGGGGGATGTGGAGCAGACCGGAGCCAGAGGAACGGAGGGTACGGGCAGGTAGGTGGGGGGATAGTAGGTTGGAGAGGTAGGAGGGAGCGAGGCCGTGAATGGCCTTGTAGGTGAGGATGAGGATCTTGAATTCGATCCTGAGGGATGGGGAGCCAGTGGAGGCGAGTGAGGTGAACAAGGGGAATTGCAGGTGCACTTCAATTATTATGAGATTTGAGATAGCGCATTATCATGTTGAGATGTCTCTTAGCACTTCACAGACTATATTGTAAAGCGAATTGACTGTGTATATTGTGTGTGAAACTATGTGGATTGAGAGTTAAATGGATTGTAGCTTGAATGGTTAATTATCCATTTACAAGTACCTAGAAATCCCCCTGCAAACAGGTTTAAAGATGGTTAGTACAACCCGCAAATTAGATCACCCCCTCATATATAAAAATCTCCGCTTCAAGTCATTTCAAAGTAAATTGGAATTGATTTTTCCTTTAATAATTTGTTAACCAATTTAGGAGAAGCATAGGGCATCTTAAAATAATTTAGAGATTTAAAAGTTTGGGGCACAAGCAGCATTGTAAATATATCAGTAGTGTGTATTGGGAGGTTGAAACATACGTTGTGAGAATTACAGTTTTAACACTGATTTTTGTTGGTTGACCCAAAAATCTCAAGATGCTGAATAACTTATGACTCGTACAAATGGTGCTGCGAGTCGCAACTGGGGGTAACATCGAGACATTCCTCCTCTCTAAAGTTAGAGCCTCCACAAGTCTAGTTACTACAGAAAAACTCGCATAAATCTAATCTATATAAATCGTACAATCGCCTAAGTTGTCCATCTGCCCAAAAGTTTATATTCTCTGCAAGTTTGACACTTTGCGTAAGTCACGTTAATTGTGTGGTCCTAACTGACTTATGTGAGGTTCACTGCATAAACCAAGGGTGGACTGATGGGCTGGGCCAATCTTCAGTCCCTTTAAACACGTGCACAATACTCACCAGTCCGTTTGGCATTGTCTGCTGTCCGTGGTTTAGATACATGTAGTGGTTGTTGTAGCTGGTGCAGGTGTACATCCCAAGTTGTGGGCTAAGAGTAAATAAAAAACACTTGCTATCGCCTGTAAAACACAAGTTGAGTCAAAATAAATGCCAGAAATCTGTCGTTCACCCGCAAGTCCCACAAAGTCGCACTACTGGACAGAACAAAAGTAAAGCACTTTGAGACGTCTTGGCGACATAAGGCGCTGTATCAAATGCAAGGATTATTACATTACGGATTTCACTTTCCAGCTGTTGTTGGAGCCACTAAAATAAAGTTGTTCTTTTAAAACCTGAGCTGCGAGCTGAGCGCCCCCGACAAAATAATAATAACCCTCGCATGATACAGAGTCCCATCACATCCTCGAGATGTCTCAAAGAGCCTCGCAGAACACACTGTAAACCGAATTGACTGTATGTACACCTTGTAACATAAGCCAACTTCCAAACTAACTCCGAACGGAAGAATTTTCAACAATTCTTAAGAGAGTTGAGCCAAAAAACAAACAAACTCCTGGCCACAAAGGCAAAGATTGGCTGGAAACATCAGCCCACAAAACGCTGCAACCTCTCGCAATGTCCGGTTCGTCCAATTTACCTTGAAACTGCGGTTTGACGTCCCAGCTTTGAGAAGCGAAACCCCCGAAGATGTGATCGTCCGAGTCCTTTATGATGAGCAGCGACGGCCCCTTCTGAACGATCTGGCCGGACAAGCGCGAGAAGCTCTCGCCGTGAGCCCGAGAGGAGAACAGGAGCTGCCAGCGTCCCTGGAGCTCGGCCGGGAGGTTGGAGTTCAGGTAAATGATGGATGGGGGTTCCAACACGCTGAGGAGCTCCCCCCATCGTTCCACTTTGCACAGCGGCAGGACCTGCTTATTGACGTTGAACAATTCGGTCGGGGCCTGTGGCTTGGACATGCGAAGACCCATCGTCACCACCAGACGTAGGAAGGTGGAGACGTGAGGAACTCTGTACACCCAGTCCTCGAGCTCAGCCCTGCCATAGTCAGCGCTCGCCAATGCGCCCACTTGCAGCCCTTCTCCTGTCAATCAATGAAAGCAAATAGTCTCTTATAGGGAGGGAGGGAGGGATTGCACATCAGATACACAGGAAAACTCCCATAAGTCTGATCTGTATAAATCATGTGATCGCCAAAGTCGTACACCTGCCCAAGTCCTGTTCAAGAGTTTATATTCTGTGTAAGTTTGACTAACTCATACTTTGCATCAATCATATCAAATCTAAGGTCCCAACTGATAACAATTTATGTGAGGTTTACTGTATTAATGATATTAATGATAATAATAATAACCTTTGGTGTATCACATTGTCTCAAAGCATTTCACCCCATTTTACTGTGAAGTGGAGCAACTGTGCATTTTAATTATTTGAGTGTTCTGGATTAGGTGTTCTTAACGCCTACTGACTCCAAGGTGATGTCCCTGGCAACGGCACATTGGGATCACAACAACCTCTGGAGCGGTTTGGGGAGTGTGCTTCCCAAGCCAGCCCGGTCCTCAGTACTCCAGGCCAATCTTGGCTCATCGGCAGGACTTGGGAGGGACAGACCAACAGCAGCTTGCATTTATATAGCGCCCTTCAAGCAGGGTAGCGTCCTGGAGCGCTTCACAGTGGGGAGGTGACCAGTCACTAGGGCAGCGACCCTTACCGCTCAAATCCATATAAACCCCGTGAGCCAAATCTCCAAAGAAGTAAGGTGTTCTTGGCCAGACAAGCAGCAGGAAGCTGGCCAAACAGTGCTCTCAATAGTAAGTGAATTACTTTCCTCGTGGAAGGGGTTTTGACAAACCAACAAAGACCCCTCGATTCTCGCTGCTGCATGAACCTGGCATCACAAGACTTTAAACCTGGTCTCACCTGCGTGCCCTGGGGAACAAGCCAGATTCGGAGAGCCTGCGCATCCGCTCACTCACATTTTCTCGGGTCCAAAGCCCTCCCAATTCGGTGTAACAAAAGTGCACTTTGTTCAATCAACAACTTTGATTCAATCAACAGCGCAAGGTATTTTGAGCGTCAGTCAAGCCTGAACAGGTACAGGGCGGAGTGGAACACTCGATTGTGACTGTGGGTGTGTACGTGTATCTGCCATCTATTCCCAGATCTTATCTTCAAACTCAGAGAACACTTTCAATCAAAAAAAAACCCAGCCAGCACACTTAGCTAGGTTCACCTCAATTGTCACGGACAGCAGCTTAGCAAAGTCAGCGACGTCGAGGGGGAATGGTGGGAATCTTAAGCCCTGCACCAAATCGCTCTACTCTTTCGTTAACGGGTTGAACGATTATTTAGGCAAAATGCGAGGCGTTGTCGCCTTCCACCACCCTCTCCAGTGGCTCGCTGTGGTAAATGATTTCGCCCGCTAACAGTCACTACACTTTAACAGTGCATCCTGGGAAGCACTTTGAGACATCCACTGACCTGTCCGAGGTAAGGATTAGCGCTCTCGAAAGGAAGTTACTCAACAATTCAGTTGAACTACCAAACCCCCCCAAAAAAATATAAATAACCCTATTTTCCACCCTTAGATGCAAAACGTGCAGAAACAGAATTATAGCAATTTACACCACAGAAGGAGGCCGTTCGACCCACTGAATATCCTGTTCCTATGTTCCTCACCCCACACCCCTTCAAGCCTCTATCCTTCTCTACCCGTCCGCGTCCCTCCAAAAAAAATAACAATAATAAATTGGTCACTTCAGTCCACGGCTGTTTGTGAGGACGCTGCTGTGCGCGATTGGCTGCCGCGTTTCACCCACAAAATACACAGCCACTACACTTTACAGTGTATCCTGTGAAGCGCTTTTCAGACGTCTCGAAGACGTGATAAGGTGCTGTATCAAATGCAAGGATTATTTGTTATTATTAATATTATATATAATGGACTCTGGCCTCTGGGAGATGTTGTAACCGGTCGCTGTTAAAAACCGAAGGGGGCGGGGGGGGGGGTTTCGTGCCTACTGTTTCTTCCAAGGTGACTACCTTGAGGCTTGAGCTGGGACACCAGGTGAGTGGCAAGCTGTTTTGCTCCGATCGCTCCGTCTCCCATTCTCTCCAGGTTCCAGCCTCTCAGCAACTGCTCGGACTCCAGCAACTGCACAGTGCTCACAATCAGCTCTTCTGCAAACTGCGCAAAGTCGAAGCAGCGAATCGGGAAAGAAAATGTGATCAGAGAGAGAGAGAGAGAGAGAGGGACCTGAAATTCCACCTCGTCTGAGCTTGTAGGATCATTCTGCCGTCAAAGACAATCCAACGACGCTATAGCAAAATGCAAATATCCAAATGAAAGGCTTATTATTATTATTATTACTACGCAGAATTGAGGGGAAAAAAATCTTAAATTCGCTGAATGAATTGAGAAAAAAATTGAGAAACCCCAAAAATTCTTAAACTCGAGAGGAAAAAAAAATGGTTCCGAAATGAAGTCCGAAAGTTTCAGAATTCGACCGCAATTCCAAGGGACGTTGTTTTTCGGGGCAAAACGGTCACAGGAAGGGGTGGGGGGTTTGGGGGGCAGCAAAGACGAGGCAGGAACTCAGACAGCAGTAAAGTGATCGATCGCATATTATGGTATTGTGGCGCCACCCAGGGTCCAGGAGCTCTCGCCGCAGAGGGCGAGAGATCAGACGGAGCTAACAAGGTCTTTAATCCCAATCCATGTTAAATTCCTCTTGCGTGCGGGACTTTGAGCTCACACTGTCTAGGCTGACACTCCAGTGCGGTGCTGGGAGGGGGTGAGCTGTACGGTCGGAGCCTGCCGTCCTTCGGATGAGATGTTAAACCTTAACAGGTTCTGTCTTGAAAGGTGACGGAGAGTTGGCTTGGGGAGGGACTGCGGCTGGAGTCTGGACAAAAAGGACCCCCCCAACCGACTGGCCCACAACCCCCCCCCCGAATGTTAACGGTGTTGGTGCGTTTTACCTCTCTGAGCTGGCTCTCTCTCACGGGGCCGGAGTCATCGCTGGAGACCATGCTTCGAACCACGAGGCTTCGTTCCTCGGCCGTGCCTTGCAGAACGTAGGCAACAAACATGACAAACTGCTCCTTGCTGACGTTCTGGGTCCAGCTCAGCGATTTCCCTGCTGTATCCATGCTCCTCATCCCATCGTACAGTCGGACCATCATGGACTCCTGCAATGTTCCCTTAGTGTAAGCCTACGGACAGGAAGAAGGAGTTACAGAGAGACATTTTCCTGAAAACACAACAATTGGCGTTTCCCAGTACTGCGCTGGAGTGTCTGTCCAGACTGACTGCACGGTCGAAAGTTCTCCAATTGGGGCTTGAACCCCACAACCTTTTTCGATCCACAAGCGAGAGAGAGAGAGAGAGAGAAGTGCCAGCAAACCCACTCAGGCTCACGCCCCCTTAAGCTTTTCCAGTAGCAGACATCAAGCCCCAACTAAGAGCAGCTTCCGTATATTTTACGTTACAACATAGGTAGGTTAGGGAGAAAATGGAAGTTCAAACGAAAATAATTTCCCACAAACTCTGCGCTGCTCACGGTTAGTAAAGTAAAAAAAAATAATTCAGGCCACTTTTCAGCTGAACACGTACCCTCAACAAGTCCAGGGTAACTTGCTTTTTAGCAGCTTTTCTGCCTTTCTGATCATCGGAGGCTCCCGAGCCAGTCATGACATCGAAGACGTCGTCCAATATCGCCTGCTCCTCGGGTATAAACTTGGCCTGGAATCTGTGCAGCGAGCTGCTCTCTGCGTTACCCATGGCCGGTGATGGGACACCTACTGCAACCAAACGTTTACAATCAAAAGGATCACCGCAGACACTGAGCAAACCCAGGGACTGACCGCCACCAACACCACAAACGCCGGAGTCTCTATCGCCCGATTACGATGGCATTTCCCTGTTACAAAACAAGCCTTTGCCTCGTTCAAGGTCTGTTATCGAGATCGACCTCTGTGACCGCGCTCTCTGTCATCTTTGCCCTCTCCCCCCCCCCCCCCCACCTTGGTTTGTACCCTGGCTCGGGAGGCAAGCCACAATTGTCAAGTACCTTGGGACATCCTCCCAACGTGAAAGACGATGCAATGTAAACGTAAATTTGTATTGTAAGCAATACAGAGATTGACAATGTTTAGTAACTAGTGCCCGATAAATTCCCCACTGCTCCCTGTTGAAGTACAGTAATACAGTCACTCCACTTTGCAGTGTATCCAATGAAGCACTTTGAGACGTGCTCTCGACCCTGTATCTCCAAACGTCATATGGCAAGTTTAATATAACAAACAACATGGAATGACAGTTATATACTTGGCACACAACCCTCCAAGATATAGTGACCGAAGCAGTCAAACAACTGCCCCCACCCCCCACCCAGCACCAAGGTTACAGACTCGATTTCAGGCCATTTGAGCTGGAGAATCATGTAACAGATGGAAGGAAGTGCTGGATTACATCAGTGCAACCGCTACCATCGCTTGTGTAGACATACCCAGTCAGTTCATCTCAATTTATTAGCTGAGCAAGCCGACATACAGATAGGGTGTCAGCGTGGCTCAACGTCGCTTCCAAGTCAGAAAATTGTGGGCTCAAGGTCCAGATCGGACCTTCGAGCTCTCAGTCTGGTCCGATAATCCAGTGCAGATCTTGTTGTGGTGGTGAGGGATGGGGGGGGGAAAGCACTGCATTGTTGGAGAGGCTGTTAAACTGAGACGTTAAACTGATGTCCTGTCTGTGCCTGTTTAGGTGGACACTAAGGATCCAATCTTTAAAAAGAGAAGGGAGTTCCTCCCGGTGTCCTGGCCAACACTCCCCCCGATGAAACGAGTCATTCACGCCATTGGCTCTTTGTGGGACATTACTGAGCACAGGATGGCTGCTGCATTCACCTGCAAATATCCAGACACTTCACTTTACAGTAAATCCTGCGGAGCGTCTTGAGGTGCATCGACAATGCGATAAGCTGCTGTATTAACGTAAGCATCATTAGTATTATAAGCAATGTCATTCTGCTACCCAGACAACTCAATCCTTCACCGTGCACTGCTGCCCTCTAAATCTGAGGGACAATTTAAGAACGAATGCTTCCCTGTGCGCTCACTCGTGGCGTAAAGCTAAATAAGGACCTCCTTGTGCTGGCTGGAGAAGCCTAGTACATGGCGTGTCAACGGGGGTGCGCTGTATCTGCGAACGAACTAGCAAATGAATTAAACAAGAGAAAAGTGCCCTTCTGTACAGCCTGCAGAGGATCTTACCCGGTGAGGGACACGTGCACACACACGCACACGCACGCACACGCGCGCGCACTGGACCGTTCAAACTCCAGACGGGATGGTTCTATTCCAACGGCAAGAGTCTTAAGAGGCGGTTGAGGCGTAAAGTTGCCGCGTCGTGCTCGGGGTCCCTGGGCAGATCTCCCCACAACAATCCCCCTACAGACAGGCAATCCTGGATCCAGATACTCCTGGTGGGTGGGGAAGAGGAGAGAAAACAAGTGGTACATGTGTGTGTGTGTGAGAGAGAGAGAGACACAGAGAGAGAGAGAGAGAGAGAGAGAGCAAGTCACATAACTAAAGATTTAAGTACAGAGCCATTCCACTGTAAACCCACTCAACTGTAGACTGGAAATGACAATAATACTTACACCCTCTGTCCTGGTGCTGACTGGTGGATATAAAGCTAATCCCACAGAAGAAGAGGAGGAAGAGGAAGAGGAGCAGAAGCAGACTTGCTTCTCACCCCCCACACCCCCCACCCCACCCCCCCACCCCCAGGCAGAGTCCCTGCACAACACTGAGAGCCCCTCTCATTCAGCCCCAAAAGCTGCACAGCTGCCAGAACCCACCCTCCTGCAGCAGAGCAGTTGTGCTGGTGACCATCTAACCTGCTGCCAACGCGGAAGCGCCGAGGGCGGCCAATCAGGCAGCGCGGAGCTGGGCGAGCAGGCGGCCTCAGCCAATGGTGGGGGAGAGGGGCGGGGCGTAGGTGGCAGTTCCGGGTAGCAAGCTTGGTGGAGGTGTGAGGGGCCACCTCAGTCTCTGTCCTCGCCCCAAGGCTCTGGGCACCAGCAAAGAGGGTGCAATTGGATTTTTATTTTTATTTCTTTTTTTTTTTGCCTCCAGCTCATCACTGACAGCAACAACGACCCCGTCCCGGTCAGACAGCCGAGTTGTCTGATTTCCACGGTGTCAGCCCGGGGAGGGGGGGGCGTCGATGGCGCTAATCAATTCATGAATCGATTCATTAATTAATGTGCAGTGCCGTACTGGGCTGACGTGTGCTGCCTGTTTTATTCTTAGGTAATAATAATAATGATAATCCTTGCATTCGATATAGCGCTTTTCACGTCGGGAGGACGTCCCAAAGCGCTTCACGGAACACACTGTAAAGTGAACTGACTGTATATTTGTGGGCGAACGCGGCAGCCAATGGCGCACAGCAATGTCCCACAAACAGCCGTAGATTGAAAATGACCGATTTATTATTGTTTTTGGAGGGATTATTATTATGCTGTGCCGTTCGCAACGAGGCGCAAGTGCTTGCGAATTCAAGCCGACGTGGATTTCCCGACGCAGCGTGTCCTCGCTGGGTCTGACGCCACGCGAATGTCATCTTCGCACCAGAGCTGCAGCTCGCTTCGATTGAGATGAATTAACGTGGAATAAGAGAGCGTCTATCATAGCCAGAATATTGACAGTTGCATTTGACAGTTGGTCTCAAGGACATCTTGCATAATAATAATAATCCTTGCATTTGATACAGCGCCTTATCACGTCATTGAGACCACAACAACAACAACAACAAGATTGCATTTATAGAGCGCCTTTCACGTCGGGAGGACGTCCCAAGGCGCTGGACAGTTGGGTCGGGACCCGAACAGGGGGCAAATGGTCAGGGTGAGGGGAGGGAGGGAGCGAGGAAGGGGTAGAGAGTCGAGAGGGGAGCTGAAGGCACGGTCGAAGAGAACGACGTCTCAAAGCGCTTCACAGAATATATTGTAGAGTGAATTGACTGTATATTTTGTGGGAGAAACACGGCAGCCAATTGCGCACAGCAGCGTCTCCACAAACAGTGGTGGGTTGAGTGACCAAATTGTTATCATGAAAGGACTTATTGTTTTTTGAGCCCACAACAGTACGGGGACTCCCATCAACTAATTCGCTTTTAATATCAAACCTTTGAATTGGAAAAGGTTTCTTCTTTTGAGAAGTCCGTGTTGCGTAATGATAAACAGGTCCATAAGAACAAATGCACTGCGGTTTTGTGCTGAACTAAACGAAACATTAAGGGGAATAACCTTGGGCAAGTTTCCTTACTCCACACGCCTAATAATAGTCCCTCCGAAAAAAAAAACAATCATAAAATTGGCCATTTTCAATCCATATGACTGTTTGTGGGACATTGCTGTGCGCAATTGGCTGCCGCGTTCGCCCACAAATATACAGTCAATTCACTTTACAGTGTGTTCTGTGAAGCGCTTTGGGACGTCCTCCCGACGTGAAAAGCGCTATATCAAATGTAAGGATTATTATTATTATTATTATTATATTCCAAGCAGTTATAGGTTCAGTTAATATTACATACAAAGGGGGTTTGCCTGCAGTTGCGCCTTTTGTCCACGAGGCGGCAGTAATGTGCATTGGGTTACATTGGGAAAACTTTGTGAATCTGTTAAACAGACAAAACAAAAGTCTGATCCGCACAAAGCAATCATCGCATTCAGTACAGTGCCTTTCATCTCTGTAGCACGTCTCAAAGCCAGCCAGCGCCCAACGGTAACTTAAAAGAACAAAAAAAATATCTAAAAAAGCAGTTGAGGAGGAACTTCACGCAGAGGGTGTTGAGAACGCGGAACTCGCGGGCTGGAAGCGTCAACGTATTGCGGAGGAAACCTGATGTGTACGTGAGGGAATAGAGCGGGATAGGAAAGGGGAACAGGAGTGGGGAGGCTCGTGCGGAGCATAAACACTGGCACCGACTATTTGGGCTGAATGGCCTGTTTCTGCGCTGTATCTTTTTATGTCATTCCAAGTGGGCTTTCCTGTTACTTTAAATAATAATAATGATAATAATCCTTGCGTTTGATATAGGGCTTTTCACGTCGGGAGGACGTCCCAAAGCGCTTCACAGAACACACTGTAAAGTGAATTGACTGTATATTTGTGGGCGAACGCGGCAGCCGATTGCGCACAGCAGTGGATGCAGGATAATGATTTCCCAGTGACATTGAGCGAAGAAAGTGCACGGTTAATCTTTATCCACGTGTTGGCGCAAAGCACCCGATTCCTGAAGCGTTCGACCTCTTGGCGAAAAAGTTCAGTATTTTACACTTCAGCTTTTTTCCCCAGAAAATCAACATGGCTCTTGGCCTATCTCGCAATCCTAAGCTTCCTGTTAGTGTTCGACTGATCGGCAAATTCGCATTTGCTATTCCGTGCCACACAGACCAGCTATTTAGCAGAAGTGACAGTGCCTTATTATCCGGTAGTTGGTATTCAATGGCGTTTTCCTATGGAGTTGATGAGAAGTTGCTTATTCAGCGCTGTGAACAAAGGCTGAGCCAGTCTACAGAAAATACTGCTTAAAGCTTTTCAAAGGGAAGTGATTTGCAGGGCTGCAGTCTATGAAAGCATTGGAGGTCCTGTGTAATGTGTGATTTTAGTTTTGGCAATACGCAATAGCTCGGGCTGAAGAGACTCATAGTGTGGGCTGTGTGCCTGAAACACAGATGAAAGGTCCCATTTGACCATTTGCCCCCTTTGGTGTTGGCTTGTTCGGTGCAATTAGAGGCAATTATCTTTGCTCACCAAATGAAACAATGCAGAAAATCTCACCGTCAAGTCATTTTATTGTAATATAACATAATCCTTGCATTTGATGCACAACCTTATCAAGTGGTCGAAACATCTCAAAGAGCTTCGCAGGATTTTACTGGAAGGAGTAGGGACTTTTATGTCCCACAAAACAGCCATGAAGTTACGTCGCAAAATCTACAGGCAATTCACTTGACGGTATATTCCGTGAAGCGCTTTGAGACGTCTCGAAGAGGTGATAAGGCGCTACGTCAAACGCAAGGATTATTGTTATTATTATTTATTATAAATGAATGCACAGTTTTAACTGGAGGATTTTTGGCCGGAGCTCCGGAGAAACTCCCTTTCGTTTCAGATAAAGCCGTAGGATCTTTCGCTTCCACCTGAGCAGGCAGATTATTTAAGCTCTCATCTGGAGGACGTCACCTCTGAGAGTGCAATGCACCAATAATGCTGCACTGCAGGGATGGCTGAGAGAGTGTGAGCTTAAAGTGTCCACGTGGAGCCTGAGCTCAGAGGAGACCTGGGGGTGGAAGTGCTGTTAACCCGAGCCAGACTGATTACCAGGGAATGAGGAAGTCACGTCAGAAGTGGCAGACATCGCCTTGAAACAGAAGCTGATGAATTGTAAAAAAAAAAATTGCAGAAGGAGAAATGAAGCAAATGTAGAACATTGTACAAGGAATAATACAAGGAATCAGAGGGTTACTTGGCCTCAGGACTCAACCCGCTGTCGGTGGAGACACGTGCGATAGCTCCAGAAAGGGACTCCGTGTCTTTCAAATAAAAACCTCCCAAAACCGCAGCTGAAAAGGACTTTATTATTCTTGACGTGGCTCAGGCCTTGGCACGGCAAGCTTCCTATGCTGTTAACGTGTTGGCAAAACGGCTTCGTTTCCGGTACGAATTCAATCATTCCCGGTTTGCAGCTTAGCTGGAATGTGGCCTCAGATCATTCCTCTTCACTGCATTTTTCCTTCTTTTAATTTTTTCGCCCGCAAAACACACAGTCAATTCACTTTACAGTGTAATACTACTAATAATAATAATAGTCCTTGCATTTGATATAGCGCTTTTCACGTCGGGAGGACGTCCCAAAGCGCTTCACGGAACACACTGTAAAGTGAATTGACTGTATATTTGTGGGCGAACGCGGCAGCCAATTGCGCACAGCAATGTCCCACAAACAGCCGTAGATTGAAAATGACCAATTTATTATTGTTTTTGGTTTTGGAGGGATTATTATTAGGCTCTGTGTGGAGTAAGGAAACTTGCCCAAGGTTTCGCCCTCTGCCTGGAATTGAACTCCGGTCTCTCACTTGCAAAGCGAGTGCTCTAACCACTGAGCTACAGGACTCCACAGTGTATTCTGTGAAGGGCTATGAGACGTCTCGACGACTTGATGAGACGCTATATCAAATGCAAGGATTATTTACCTCCCTTCACTCCCCGAACTTCCCCCCCACCCCACCCACCCCACTCACTCACTCCTTTCCTTTGCTCAGCATCCAACCCCGTCTTTGTAAAGCGCTCCGAGACCTGATCCTCCGTGAAGGGCTCTAAATAAATGCGAGTTGTGTTGTTGTTGTGCTTGTAATTGCTCTTTCTCTGCACCTCCCTCCCTGGTATCGGTTAACATTTGAATGCCGAGGCTTACTTATAAGATAAAAATGACAAAGGCCTCATTTAAATCATGTCAGAGAGAGCGAGAGAGAGAGAGAGAGAGATTGAAATCCGAGAGACTTATCGTCCATTGCCTGACTTTCCTGGATTCGTGCCCAGACTCTGGGCAGCATTAATGAGACGACGGTCCCCGAAAAGTAGACGACGTCGAAAAACCGTCAAATAAACTGTGGGAGAGACATCGGGCCTCTGGGGCTAGAAGGTTGTGGACTCAAGCACCGCGTAGGGGGACTTTGAGCTCACAACC